CAAACAGAGAAACGTGAGAGAAAAAATCAGAATAAATCAGCAGCAGAGAAGCTGCTTGCTGAGCAAAGTTAATCCCTGTGAAATAGGGTGAAAGGCCCAAATCAGTTCAGTGCATCCCATTCCCAGCCAGGGAATGGAGCTGCTGTGCAGCTGTGGGTCGTGTCCGTGCAGCCGCTGCCACGCTCACAGCTCTGCCGTGTCGTTGAGCCCCAGCTCTGCACCTGCGCTCACCGCTCTCGCGCTGCCTGCTCGGGCCAGGGGGCAAGAACATCCACAGAGGGTCTGACTAAACACCTACCAACACCTTCAGGAAATCACTTGCCTGTGTTTCTCTGTTCATCATACTGCTTGCTTGTTTGTTGTTTGGGTTTTTTTGTTTGTTTGTTTTAGCTTTTTGCTCATATTATAAAACTTAGCTTTTAATTCTTCCATGAAATAATACAATAGAATCCAAAAGCCTACTTTAATGGTCATTTCTCAACTTCCCTATGGATTCCATGCTGGTTTGGTTCCAATATCCCATCCGTACTTCGGGCCCACGATCCCCTCAGAGGGAGCCCTGCCCTTCTTACACTAAAAGGCCCAAATCCACAGGGAGGATGGACAGACACAAAATCACAACTCACAGCCTTGCCTTCACCCTCAAACTACAAAGGAGACAAACGCTTTTCTTAACGCAAGACTAAACCTCTAGTGCTCTAAGGAGCTAACAGCTACAAGATCTCGACACTCCAGGACTCCCACCTCACTGCTCTTCCTCCAATTTATGCGAGTAGGCTGCAACATTAGGATGAAAGATGCTCCTAAAGCAAAACACCAGGGGTTGTTCCTTCCTGATCCCAGAGAGACTACTCCCATCAGAAAGGGAAGGTGGAGGGTGGGTCACAGTCTGGTGATACACCACCACATATTAAACACAAGTTTTTATAGAACATTTGGATTAAAAAACCACCTGTTAAAACCAGAACTGAAATACAGCTTCAGTGACCATGTAATGACCCTCTAAGAGAAAAACAACTTTCAGTTTGGCTTAACAATATCTTTTTATTATTATTTATTTTTATTTCAAGGGAGCATTCCTATTGTATATTTGCATCGCTCCTCCTACCAGGAAGCCAGGATGGATGCAGACCTGTCATCACAGGGCACATTTTCCAAAATGCTGGAACTTCATCTTTGAATATTAATGGTTGTGACAACTGGGACTTCACAACAGTAATGCATGCCCATGCATGTGAGCAGTCAAAGCTTAGCCGTGACGATTTCTTCTGGAGCCATATGGAAGAGATTAATTTTCCACCCACGTTTTTAAATTCTCTCTAGTGCCGTATGCAGGTATGTAGCCCAAAACCTGCCCAGTGATAGGGATCCAGAATAGCAACCAAAAGGCTCTCAAAGCAGTGTGGCAGTGAAGGTTTGCCATGCATGTCTGAAGGGTGTCCAAATGCCACAGAAACAAAGAGCAGGGTTTCCACTACAGCATCAGACATGACTCCAACCCATACAAACCCCGAGCAACCAACTGCCATCACAGAAATCTACCTCACAGATTATTCCTGATTTATCCTGAGCAGAACTGCAGGCCACAGCACGTACACAGTTACAACACAAAGCATGTAACTTGTGTGCCTGTTTTAGTAGAGTTTGTATTTCTATAGGACCTGGAGACCCCCATGCAGTCAGACCAGGATGCACAATACGAGAAAAGACCACTTGCATCCCCCTACGTTTACATTCCAACTGGAAGGATACCTACAGAACAGTACCCTGTCTCAGCCTCTGTTTAAAACTACCAGGATTACAAGGACCTACATCAGCAAGTTGCCCTCATTTTGCATGTTTCTTGCCTGTACATGTTCTAGCTTCACTTACTTTAACCTAGAAACTAAGGCACAACCTGTGTGTGTCTCTCTCAATCTGTGTATAGCATTGTGTAAAAATTCTTGCATTCCACATGACTTCATCATGAAAAAATCAGCTTGAAAGTTCGGTCCAACACAGACAGATCCAGAACCTTTTCCTGAAGCAACCTGAAACACACCATCCTGCTACTGACCACTGGAGGATGAACACTGTGAAACAGGGAACTTATTCAAAATTCCCACATTGTTCTTGATGATTTAAAATGGCATTCTCATAGCAAAAGGTTCAGCCCGGTTGTTAGACACTTATTTTCTTTTTTCTAATGCCATGAAATTCCTGTTTCTTGGCACATCAGAGCTGTGGAAAGACCACAGCTGACAGCAGAAAATAAATCGGCTGTGACAGAAGAAAGTTAAGGGGTGAAGGAAACCACTTACAAGGGGTCTTCTCCCATGTTAATAAGCCAGGCAAAAGGAAAACCACACAGTGTTAGTAAAGTGAACACCTGACTCAGCCGTTCATACCCTCAGAGTCACAAAGTCTGGAGTACCGAGGACAGAGCGTGGAGGCGGGGAAAATGCAGGGTTTATGGAATCGTAAGAGAGGAATTTTTCTGCTGAATTAACAGTCATGTGGTAGATGTGCTCAAAGTTGCTCGGAGAGGAGATCAGACGGGAGTGATGATGAGGGATTTGGTAAGGGGAACGCTGCTATCAAAGACAACAGAGAGAGAAAGCAATGAAGGATGGTTGTACAGGTTACATCGGCAATAGCAGTCCACGAGAGCGGTGAAACACTGAAGGACAGCCAGGCAGCAACCCTGCTCGCCCGCCAACACACAGGTGCTTACATTGTCACCCCCAGTCCTCTGAGCACCTTCCTTACATGGTGTCATAGGGGCCTGCTGCCCTTGCTGTTGCTAAAACATTAAAAACAAATAAAACTTTTAACTCATTGGGAATCCATTCTAGTATTTATTATTATTTGATATTTCAAAGAGCACCACAGTTGTAAAAGGTGCTTTACAGACAGTTGAGAAGCATCAGTTCCCTGCCTTGAGGAGCTTACAATCTAAAATAGACATAACACAAACAAAGGAAGGTGAACACAGGTGAGATGGTGTGGGGAAAAGAAAAGATGAGAATACACAACAGTTAAAGATTGTAAGAGATTTCCTTCTATTATTCATGCATTTTAGTGAATCCATTAAAATTATCACCCATACAACAAACAGACAGTATTTTCTAACGGGAGGGAACTGTGTTTGGACAGGGTAGGGACACAGGTCGTGTGGGGGAAGGGGAGCTGGTTGGTGTCGGACAACAGGGACCATCTACTCTGCTCCAGGCCTGTGTCCTCCTGCCCACTCAGTGCATCCTCACAGCGCTTCAGCGACGATGGGACTTGGCCCTGCCACCCCGGTGCTGCACAAGCAGATAAGGTGCAAGAGCATCGGGGAATTCAAATGCTTTTAATTGGTCAACTGAGCAACGTGCTCCCAAAGGGTGACGTAAAGAAACAAGAGTGGAGTAATAATCCTGCAGCTTAAATAGAAACAATTTCTAATTCACCTCTATGGAATGTGCCGACACAAGCACCCTTGTAATTTAAAGTCATCTAAATCCAGATTTAATGGAAGGTCTCCCTCCCTGTGCCATCTGTACGTGTTCAGCACGTCAGCCTGCAAGGGGATCATTTGCCCCATGGCCACCAGCAAACTGGAACACCTTTTCTAACTCCTAACTTTAATTTTCTCTTTCTCTTATCCAACTGATTTCATCACCTTAAAGAGATCTGAGTATCATTAGAAATGTTAGGACTTAAAAAAATAAAATATGGTAAAAATACAGCTTACCCCTCTGCTAAACCTAAGGCACTACTTTTTGTATGTGGAACGTATTAAAGTCTGGAAGAGCATTAAGTTACATCCCAATACATATTATCAAACATTATTGTTATTGTTCTCTTCATTTCAGCTGGTAAAATCCAACTTTTTTTTTTAAATACACAATTATTATGAGGCTTTGCATGTTAATCAAAACATTAATTACCACATTATGGCATATAAGACATAATATACATTAAACTGTTATTAATAAGTTTAGCAGCATCTAAATATCAGTACAAGAAGCCACCATTCCAAGAATGGTCCAGGAAAAAAGACTTTGCCGAGTTACCTGCTCACAAGAGAGAACTGACAGCAAAGCTGGCTACGTTCTTAAAAGCCAGTAAGGGAGAAAAGGGAGTCTCTAAAATTACAAGCTAAAAAGCAGAGGGTAGGCCAGCTGCAGACCATGAAAATATTTAGCCAGCATTCATGAATGTGAGAAAGCCATGATATGGCAAAATTTTTTAAATGGTCCTCCATGGAACTTTCTCCATGGACTCCACCATTAGATGCATGCATGGGGTTCCCACTTTCTTTGAAGAATACCAAATATGTGTACGTATTCATTAACTCTAAAAGTTTTGCATTTGAAACAAGCAAAGCTTCACACATCATCTAGAATGGAAGTATAATGGCTCATGTGTAATGAGGTCAAACTGAAGCATAATGATCCAATATAATGGCAGTCAAGACTAAGTTTTGTATGTAAAATACTTAGGCATGCAGAATATGAAAGCAAAATCAATCCTGTACATCTGATGTACACAGAGAGGTGGTCTGTGCTGCAGTTAAGTGCAGTTCCAGATTTCAGATCTTCACTACAAAGGAGCATCCACGAAAAAGTGGCTTCAAGGGACAAGAGGGCAGAAGGGAGGCCAGACTGTACGGCCAGTTAATTGGTGACAGGCTGCTAGGGAAGAAAAACATGTAAATAAATAAGTTTGGGGATACACTAACAGGAAAGATTCTAAATTGTACAAAACAAGACAATGACCCAGATCTACTATCCGCATCAATAAAATACAAATATGTACCAATTACAGCTCTGTTAATAGCAAAAAAGAACTTCTGGTTTCTGTTGTGTCGTAGCCCACAGATTTGCTACCCCCTGAGTAACTGCTCACCACGAAGAAAAGGATGCAAATTTACAATTGCCTGGTAATTGCTAATATTTTCTCTCTTAAATCTGATCTCATTCTGAGCCTTGGGTGTGTTTGTTTCTGCTAAAACACAGGGCTACACTGAAGTCAAAGGTGTTCATTCACAGAGAGAGCGATGTGAGACTAAACTGCAATTTGCAAAAATGTTATCTCACTGTCCATGACAAGTGCCTGTTGCGTGCCAAGACCACGGAAACAACGCACAGAGAAAGCATCTTTCCCCCTTGTGTGGCTGCATCAGCAAGAGCAATCACACGCAGACAGATACGTTGTACACAGGGGGGCATCTAATACAACATATCAAAGAGCCTGAAAGAGTTTAAAACATTCCATTTATCTACTTTTCATTCACGACGCAAATTAAACTCTCTCAAGTTGGTCTTTTAAGACACATCATGAAGTGCAGCAGTGGGCAGAGAGCAAGTGAGCTCCTGCTGGCTCTGCCAACCCCCGGGCAGTTTGGCCACGGGTTAAGGCAGCACATGTGCATGTCCCCTCCTGCCCAGCGACACCTCGCAGCCCGGCGACGCCAGGGCCATCGCTACCAGCTCTCACGTTGCACTTCATTCAATTTTTGGCATTTCCCCTGAAAAAGGGAGCACAGGCAGGTTAGTGGGACCACAGAGATCAGTTTTGATTGGATTCACATTGCCTATATAAAGTGAATCTGTATACATTCACAAATAAATAGAAATACATGCATATATGTAAAAGTTGTCATTTGTTTTATAAAGTTCATCATCCATGATTGCTAGATAAAAGCTAGGCTGAGCAAGCTATTTAGTTTGTGATGATCTCATCAAACACAGAGATTAAAATACCTATTGTCTAAAACCTCTTTATTACTAAGTACCCTTCTGCCTGCATAGCACTACACTGAGTTTAATGAAAGCTCATGCTAGATGAACAAATTTCTATCAGTAGATCCAGCCAAATTTGAAATTGCACAAATAAGTTGGACAAAACTGCAAATAAAAAGGCCCACTCTCTGCATTCCAGTATTTCACGAAAGAAGCTAGATCACCAGAAATAGTTGCATGAAGAAAATTTGAGAAAACTCTTCTCCTTGCACTAATTGTTCCCCCTAGTGGTAGCCCTCTTTAAAGGCAAATTTTATCATCTGCTTTCATAACCAGGCATTCGTGAAACGAATTGCTGCAATCTTTCCTATTGTTCTTTAAAAATAAATACTTTTTTCTTCTGAAGCATATTAATCTATTAAAAAATACAAAGAAGATATTCCAGCTGCAAAACCATCACACATGCTAAGAAGCACACACAAGGGAAAAAAAAAGCTATTCACCTTTTTGGAAAAAGGTATGAATCTATTGAAATAATTCCGTGTTCTTCTGAAGCAAGCACCATACAGAGGTCCTGTACAAGGATTGCACGAGTATTCTTTACCTGGTGTACTAATTCTCCAAGAAACACTCTTTACTTCCTATTTTCAAATAAAACATTAGACTCAATGCATTAACACCACATGTGCGCACAACTCCTTTTCTTCTATTTTTGTGCCTGAGAAACAAAGTAGGTAGCTTGGAACAGACCTCCCATGAAGCTGTTGGGAAAGAAAAAGCTGCCTGGACTGAAGAAGCTCTTGAGAGAACATTTATTAATCTCAAGTTACACTTTCAAATTCACACTTTCAAGTCCTGCGACTGATGCGATTCTGCATCTGTTAAGTTAGGATTACAAATACAATATGATATTGCAAAGAGCTGCTGGAAAAATACATGTCAAAGCTGTTTTATCTGCAGTGACATCTCTCAGCGTTAAGAATGATACCTACTTGCAAAAGTGTTTTTTAATAGTAACTTTAAAAAGAAGCTGCAGCGGTCAAACAATCCATTCTATACTGTACACATTTTTTAATGCCTTGTCATTACTTTTAAGTGTGGAAAGTGACTCATGAATTTCTTTCAATCATATTAATTGGTAAGAAGCAAAGTAACAAAGCTAACTGAAATTACGATCTCTGAGCTAATACAAGGCTTGTGTAATTAGAATGCAATCAAAGCTAGAAGCCATTTAGAGATGACATAGCTGAAGAAATATTAATTCATATAAGTCTAGAAAAGCCACTTGTAGAAAAAATAATTCCTCATTTTACACTTGCCAGATCTGAGACTTGATTAAGAATCCTTGCAGCTTTTGATTCCCATGAACTTCTAACTGATGGTGTGAAACAGGATGTCTTTTACCCTACCTTTAGCAGTAGCTGGTTATTTTCTCTGCTTGAGAAGAGCCAGAAATGATAAAGTAAAAAAAGCTTCTGATCTACACCCTGCCCTGAAGCAAATTATAAGTCTTTGTTTAACGTCAGACGTATGTATAATCACATCCAGGTAAGATAAACACTTACCTGCCAACTTCCTTTGGATTTCTCATGTATATTCTAGAAGCAGCTCCCATCATTATTTACTCATTTTTAAGCATACACACACACAGGGTTGGGTTTTGCTCAATTGAACTGAACATATTTGTTATTGAGGTTTCTCAGAGTGTGTCTAGTAAGATATTTAAAGTAAATCCTTTCCTTTCCTTGCATATTCTCATCTAAGAAAATCACAGTGGAGAAGAGCACAAGTATAATGTGCAATGGTAAAATGTAACATAGAAGTACTATTTGCTGCAGAAGTGAGGTAAAAGAATACCTGAAGACCAGGGGTGATGCTCCTAAGCTCCTAAACTAGTGCAACTGCATGACACTTTATTTTCCAGTCTTAATGTCGTCTCCTGTGGGCTTTTCAGCATCTGAAAAATCCCAATTTCAGCATCTACTTCCTGGTTTCTACACAAACTCCAAGTAATAACAATGATCATTTCTGACAGCACTTCTGCCCTAATCCCTGTGTCTTGTGGTGGTGCTCACACCATGTCCTCCAATCTCTCTTACAGCCCTAATTAGCATCTTCTGAATTCCATCTGTGTCCTTGTGGATGAATTTAGAACACAATATAGACCACACAACCAAGATGCCCAAGGTAGCTTGAAGAAAGCAGTACAAAATACCTCTTATGAACAAAAGATTAATTGGTCTTTATCTCATCTAAAATTTCAGTAACTTCCAGGTGAGTGCTTCCGACATGAAGTGCTGTGGAAACAAACGTGTGTGTGCTATAACATGTTTTCTTTTTCCATTTTTCAACTTAAAAGGTTACTCTACATATAAGAAGTTCTGTTTCACCGAGACTAGTTAATTGGAGAGAAAATGAAAAGCAGCATCTTTGGCATGGAAAGAAATTTGGGCAATACACACTGTTAAACTGCTGCGGTTCCACTGTTTGAGGAAAAGGAGCTGCAAAAAGATTGGCTAAGTTGGAGCTAAAGATGGGAAGAGAAGAAAGGAATTGAACTACAGTTCACAGAGAAAGGAATTTCTCTTGCCATTCCCACAGAGAACATAAGATCCAAAGCCTCTTAATCTTGTCCCTTCATATGGGTCATAAAATTATCAGGAACGCTGAGAGGCCAACCTACCTTAAACTCCAGGAGGCATCAGCCACTCCTCCTCCTACCCTCGATGTTTAAGTGTCATCCTCTTTGTTTAAATTTTATTGCATAGAGCAAAGCACGTGCAGCTCCATTTCCCTAGTTAAACTGCTCTTGATACGACATAAAACAACACTCTGAATATGCATTTGTACTTGTCTTTCTCTCACTTTTTTGCAGCCTCTGTTGCAGTCAAGTCACTCTCACATGTACTTTTGTACTTACCATCGGGAGGTCTTTGAGAATCTGTATACCATCTCCTGGGCCCATATGTGCTATGTGGTTAAAATTAGTTGGGTTAGAAATTAATTTATTTCTCATTTCTGGATCGCGTAGCATCTCCCTGGAAGAGAAAACACTGTTTAGATACTTGGTTTAAGGTGCGAATGTACCTTTATAAAACGTGGACATTAACCATAAAAAATGGAAATTAACTATTTAACCATGTTAACAGTGATAAACCTTTGTTATCAGAACTGGTGTGGACGAGCTTCCAGCTAGAAGGGAGGGCAAGGGGCCAGAAGAAAAGAACACTGTTTGCAGGCTAACAGCTCACACCCAGAAATTACCAACACTCAAGGAATATATAACCACTATGAGCTGATAAAAAGCTCTGTATGATGAGTGAAAAGCACAACTCATTTGAAATGTATTACAAAGTGGAGATGAAAACGAAGTATAAAATAGGAAAATAAAATTTAAGTAATACTGTAGTACCTTTCTCAGTCTGTGGTCAGAATTAAAAGCTCTTCAAAATGGCAAGGATGCATTTCAGAACTCAGAATAAATAAAATTTAAAAGATCGAACCGCGGTCAGCTCAGAAAAGGCAAGAATAAGAACTGGAATTTTATCTCCACTGCACCCAGCTGTTACTTTTCTCAGAGCTGAAAGGAAAGGAAAGCTGGGAGCCGACCATCGGTGGAAGATGTTGGAAGTTAGAAAACTGAAATAATCCATTCTTGGAGTGTAGCTTAGCACAGTAACACGTCATCTTTACTGACTGATAATAAGTGGTCAGTAACATCCTCTGAACACTGAGTAGTGCAGACTTATTTTTATCACCATCTAGGAACATATTTTGTGACCTCTTAAAGACATCTATTAGAAACATATCCTGAAGTCCTATGTCCTCTGAAGAGGTGAATTTTCTGAGATTTATAGAATGTTTATGTAGTTAAATACTGCTGAGTGTAGAATTGCCTTCAGAAAGAAAAGCAGAACCAGAGTCTGAAAGTCATTAATCTGTATGCATAATTAGCAATATAATCTCCTTTTACAAAGTGTTTATTACAGATTGTTATATATACAGTGTATGTGCACACCTAGGTACCTACATACATTTTGTGGGCGCATGCATTCCAAATTACAGCTGTTTCACATAATTAATTTGAACTAATGAATACTCGTGTATCCAGTGCATATCCATAGCCAAACTGGTATTAACACAAGTTGAACATTGAGGATTAACGCAGTAGAGAAGAGACAGAACCATCTAGAATGGCATTCCAAAAGCAACAAATGCAGTACTACATTGGCATCGATCAGGGCCTACAGGCATGTATGGAAGGCAAGTACACGTTGAATACCGACCTCCTCTGCTGCATCCTCTCCTCCTCTGGTACTCTGAACGAATAGCGGCGCTTGTTGTTGATATTTCGAACCATTTGCTTCCGGCTGTTATCTGATGTCTCAGGAACTACCAGTTCATCACCCTCTGAAATCAGTATAAAAATGATGATGTAGTGGGACGATTCATTAAGTACTCATGGGATTTGAATTCAAAGACAATTCCTCCCTCTGCTCTTGCTATTGTTGGTCACCACCCACTTCTCATCAAACCTGAACAAATGCTCCTTGGTTTATGGGTTTTCTGGGTCACTACCTACTATGTTAAATAGCAACAGACTTAAACCTTCCTCACACAGAATTCCACAGCTGTGTTCTCAAAATATCACTGATTAATTCTTTCAACCACAACATTTAGGTAGGCAGGAAAGGATCTCGGTCCTCTGTCTCAGACTACCCTTGGCAGTTCCCACTGAAATCATTACAACAGTCTTGTTCCACCAATCATCTGGAAACTCAACGCAAGATTGTTTTTCACTCGTTCCCTGCTCCAAAGAGACTACTCCTTTTGAAATCTTTGAACACTGATGTCTTTTGGTGCAACTGTGGGAAAAGAGAAGATTTCTTCCACATGTGGCCATCTGGCCAAGGTGCCTTTATTAAAGACACGAAACACAGAGCAGTGACAACCACACAACAGGAGCGTTACTTGGAATGAACGCTGCAGCTGCTCTGTCTTGTCTTATACATATGGAGACTAAAGTTACACTTAAGCTCCAACATACCCAACAGCTACTGCTCACTGCCAAAATAGTTTTTGTACGGAACGGAAATCTCTTCTTTCCTTAAGATCAACTGGAGATCTCATTCAAGTGTATGATCTGCTAGGTAAGTAGCTTCAGGAAAAAAAACAACTTGCAGATACACCTGGAAGTGTCTTTTCTGAAAGACAGTGTACAGGAGCAAAGCACCAGCCTAACGCACTTCTGATCCTATGCTCCCCGGGTTTTTTTTTCCTCTTCTGCTCTACTTTTAATGTTCATCCTTTACTTGACTTGAGAATTCTTTATATATATTTTCACCATATTCCTCCTCTCACTGTCATTCCCTAATTTGCTAGCAATTTAAATAAACATTGAAACACCACCAACAGTGGTATATGATTCTGGACTGTTTATTTCCACTATTTTCAGAATAGCTTTCAAAAAATTATAGTTTTTGATTGTTAAAACAATTCATATCCTCTTTCCATCTAAGAGGTGAAACAAAATGTTAAGGAAATTATTCAGAAGCATGCTTATGATATCGGCTCTAAAAAGAAAAAAAGTTCAAAAATACTCACAAAAAAAATAGAATTCCAAAGCTAAAACTTTGGTACACAATCATATGTGGCCCTAATAACAACTTATGATACATAATATTATATTACTTTCTGATCCTTGGGAAAGATTTGTTTAGGTTACATATAATATTACTTTTAATCTAGTACCGCCAAGATCGTTATTAAAATCTTCAATTCTGCAAGCATTTTTAGATAGCACTCTGGGAGGTGATCCCAGATTGGAGGGAGCATCTAGTCATTCTATTCTCTATTTCCAGTCTTCATTCAAGTCTTTACTGAGTATCCAAAAGGGGAAAAAAACATGTCCAAAGCAGCTGCCGAGCAGACATGACTGCAAACACTGTGGAATCTGTAAGCTTTGACGCTTTCCCAAATTAACAAGCACATAAATGTCTGAGAGATCACTTTCTACAATGGACAGATCCAGGCCAAGGAAAAATGCTCTTTCTAAACAAACATTTGCACTACAAAAACTGGCTTCTCTTTACTTACCTGCCATTTTGTTTTTGAAATATATTAATCTAACTGTCTCCAGGCCTAAAAGGTTCAGTGATCCTTCTGTATTCAAGGGTCGTACCTGAAACAAGGAAGATCAGTCCTTGTAATAGCAATAACCCACATTTCTATAGAGCATCTTCTTCAGAAAGCTCCGAGGTGCACTACAAACTTCATAAAAGGAGCACTGCTGCAAAGCCAACCAGGCTGCAGAACAGCAGAACTGGCCAGAGCAGAAGAACTGCCAGCTGGAAGGAGGAGCATCTCCCAACCCCAATAACACGTGCCTGCTCTCAGGAATAACCCATGCAAGTCACACAAGCGACAAAGCAGAGATAGAAACAACTTTAAACTTCTGTTCGGAGAACGAGTACACAGCTGCCTAAAACTCCACTTACAGACACAGGCCAAACACTGTTCCTCCAAGCATTTAAATAAAAAGTTTCATTAGAAATCTACTTCATATAACAGTTCAATTTTGCCTATCAGATGCACAAAGCAATAAGCTGTGCTTTTACTTTGTGTTAGTACCATGTTGCAATTACACTTTGTAGCTTCCCAAGAGTACATACAGATTGCTGAAATCTGCCTGTATTTGTGATTTCCAGCTTGAAAATGAATGAAGCATTACACCCTCCAGGTCCACAAATTTTGTTAGAAGCAAACTCTTGATAATGAATTGCCATTTTTGAGTCTCCTAGATTGAGCAATTCTTGTTCACTGAAAGTAGCTTCAACCACTAAAAGGGCAGTCTTGACGCAAATATTAATCGAAGTACTAAACCACATTCTGCTCTGCAGAAAAAAAAATAAACATCTCCAACTGCTTAATAACTCAAAGTTTGGACATCAGAAAGAGACAATTTCCTCCAAAAGTCCAGATTCTTCTTCTCTCCCTAGGATGGTTAACAGCTGAGCACCTTGTTCTTTCCATTACTTATCCGTAGAGGATTGTCATAATAACCTGGTCCACATCTGACATATGGGAAATTGAGAGGCAGAGACAGTGAATGACTACCGCAAGACCACAAGGGCAATTTCTCAGAGTTCTATGTCACTCGAATGCCAGTAAAGGCATTATGTTGACACTAATAAAAATTTGAAGTTGGACTAAACCACAGGGTAAAAAACACTTTTTTTATTCCCAAATACAGCTGAGCAAACACCTCCTAAATACCAAGGAAGTGTCAGTTTTCAAAAAAATCTTCCTTTTGGTAAGCGATCCAAACTTGACTGCATCCTCAGTTTAGTATTGTTGAAGCAAAGTGCTCTAACCCTATCCTGTCAACAGTGTTCTCAAGCAGAAGACGACAGATTTTTTATGGAAGGCCTGCTTAATTATCTTAACATCCACAATCTTCTGATGATAACCTAAACGCAATTAGTTCCAAAGAAGTCATATGCAACTAATACCAATAAACTGCTGCCTGCAATACTATCACCAAATCCGACATCCTCATATGCTCCAGGTGCACCATTCATCTGAACAGTAAAACCACAGGCAAAACACATTTCATGTCTTCTGTTTCAAACAAAAAGCACTCATTTCTTCTCAGTAGCTCTTCTTTTAGTTCAATTATGTTTAAACAAGAAGTTTTAATGATGGCTTCTAATGTGCTTAAAAAAACCAGTATGGCAATAGCAAAGCAATATTGAGTCTAGACACATTCTTTAAATGATAATGAAACAGTAGGTTACCTTTTTGAGAGGAATAGTCTGGATCCACTCCATGGAGTTCACGTCAAAAATATCAATTGCATTTTCGCTGTACACAGAGAGGTATGGTGCATTGTAACCTGAAAGGGAACGATTAGGTATAGTGACATTGCTTTCAGGCAGGGCTTAAAATACATAATTTCTTATGATTTAACCTCATTTACTTAAAAAAAACTCAAACAGCAACGCACTCCACAATCCAACCACAATTTTTACAGAATGCGCTTTAACTCAAAAATGACCAATAAATTTATTCTGAAGGCAAACCAGCACCACCAAAAATATTTAAACCAAACTACTTTTTGAACTACAAGGGATTACAGTTAACTCTGCAAAACACTGATGTGGTTTGAAGTTCTTTTCCTTCTAAAAGCTCTATTTTTAAGAGCTCATATTTTGTAAATGATGTGGTGAAAAATACACTGTTGTTACTTAATAACTGTCATTTGAACAAACTGAGCTCTTAGTCTTTGGACTATGTAATAGATGAACATCAGTTGGAACTAAGCACCATGACACAGTCACAAAAATCTTCATGTTTCCTTCTAGCGTTAATTTTCTTTTCTTATTTTCTGGATTGTAAAGGGAATTCTTGTGCTACATATCTGGCATATTTCCGCAGGATGAAATTTGTTCCACTAGGATCACTTCTAAAGCAGAATTCAGTATTTCCACATTGGCAGCGAGACAGTCATGGTCTGCCAAGACTAACGAGAACATCCACCTTCTGTTTAAATCTAACAGCTTTTGCTATAAAATATACCTCCATTCTGAACTGCAATAACATCAAGTCACTTTGTTTAAGGCAATCAAAAAACTTTCACAAATATCAATGATGAACTACATGTGAAAATACTAGTTTTTCAATCTATCACAAAACCAGTGTCCAAGGCCAGGCTGGATGAGGCTTTGAGTAACCTGGTCTAGTGGGAGGTGTCCCCGCCCATGGCCAGGGAGTTGGAACTCATCCTGTTTTGAGCAAAACAGAACCAGTTCACTCAAGGATCTGGACCTACTTGGTGAATGATGAAGAAAGATGGTGAAGTCTTGCAGGCTGGCTGATAGATTTTGTTATTACTTACAGTCTCAGCTTCACCTTGGGAAATTACACTTTTTCTCTGCCAGACAAGCTGATCCTACCAGATGATTATGATAATTTCGGATACGGTGATATATTTCCAAAATAGTTTAAATTCCAGCTTGCACTGGAATATCAGAGAATATCAGATCTTTTCTCTGAGAGTCCTGAAAGGTTGGGAAAAATCTTTTCCAGTTTGTAAGTCTCTCTGCAATGTTAATTAAGTGTCTTTTGAGTTAATACGAAAAGCGGACAGTACTCTATCATAGATGGTGGCAAATGTTTTGTGGGGCTGGTTAAAACAGAGGAAGTGGAATAACTGGCAACGCAGAGGTAAACCTTCCTGGGCTGCTGCATTGTGGCAAAATATTGCTGCCCAGCTAGATATAGTGACCAAGGCCACTGCTGGATCTTGTGTGCCACACTGGAGGTGCCAGGAAGTAAAAGGGGTCACAAAGAAGTAAAAGGTTGCTCCTCTGGTGAGTAACAAACAGGACAGGTGGCCAGCAACAGTATTCCATTCCATATACATCATATTCAGTATAAAGCTGAAGGATCACAGGGATTAAAGTCTCTTCTTCACTGGTCAGTAACCAAGGAGGACTCCGATCTTCTGCCTTTAATCTGGATCCTGAGTTCCCAAATCCAGCTCCTGTGTCCGGTTCCCCTCTGCCACCAAGCCTGGGGCTTCCCCAGTGCCACCTGCTCTGCAGCAGCAGTGGGGATTGCTATCAGGGTGGGAGACAAGTTCGATATCGGCTTTGTATATATGTGTATATAGTTATTTTTTATTATTATTGTTTTATTAAAGCGGTTAGTTTTCTTTTCCAATCCATAAATCTCTCTGCCTTATTCCTTCCTGTTAGAGAGCATCTCTAAGAGTTCAGTGGCCAGCCCAACCCTAATCCTTGAAAGAACTAGACGATCTTTATGATCCCTTCCAACACAAACTGTTCTATCATTCTATGATCTTTTATCCTGACTCATTCATTCTCTGACTCCATTGTAATAAACACACTTTTGCCTGAAAACCTGAAGTGACATAGAACCTGTAGAAGTTGTGAAACATGCAAAAGAGGCTTCACATGAACAAGGTGAAACATCCCTCTTCCGAGCAGTGTGACACTACCTGTCACAGTGAGGTGAGAAGGCAGATTTTAAAAATCAACATAAGACTAGGCTCATTCACAGATACTCTGAGGACAAAATTGATTAATCTTTATCTGCATTCAGAAAAACATTAAAAAGAAGAAGATAGGCATTGTGGGTTTTTTTCCCTCCAACTGCCACAGAGATAAAGTTCCAGCTTTGAAAAATCATGCAATAAATGTTTAACATTCTTGCTGGAAATGGAAATCTTGAAAAATTACAGCATTTTTCCTTTAAGGTTATGCAATATATTTTCTATACTGCCTGCATACATTGTGTTATGGAAGGGAAGAGGGAGATACAGGGGAAAAACCTTAGAAACATTATTTAAAAAAGCAGAGAGGGTAGATGAATGAGTGTCTACATAAACTGCTGAGGAAGAGAGAATGAAAGGGTAAGGAAGGAAAAGAACAAAAAAAATGCAGTAAGTAGGAACAAACAGCATTAGAAAAAAACAAGTCAAACTACCAGACCCTGATGACTCCGAACATCAGGAAAGCTTGAATCACAATGCTGAGCCAAAGTACAATCGAATTTTAAAGACTTCAGCCCAGCATCAGTGGGAGCAAATATACGAGGATCTCACTAGCCTCTGCAGGACCTGAGGCTTTCGGCTGTTTAAGAAATCAGGCCATGTGCTTAGAAATTGGATGTCAGATTTAGAAATCCTGACTCTTGACTCCTCTTTGCACTGCCCTAGTTGATCCTGGCTTTGGCAGGGAGGTTGGATGAGATGATCTCTACAAGTCCCTTCCAACCCTGAACATTCTATGATTCTACGACTACAGCAGTGGAGTGACAGAGTTGTCCGAACTAGCATAAATGATACCAGGATTAAACCCTCTGACTAGATAAAAAACGCCGACAGAAGCCAAGTGCATTCATTTACCTGTAGGGTACCTCTCCTTGAACTTCAATTCCTGTGGATATTAATACACGCAGTGATCACTTCAATGTCTAACAGCAAGAACACGAACGCACACGGCAACTTACAGCAAGAAGATGGAGTTGCGGGCCACATCAGTTCTTGTTGTCTGGATCTTCGGCCCTGGCAGTCAACGTATACCCCCACGCTGCTAAAACACAGCAGGTATTCTTTATTTGAGATTTCGACTGCACAGATGGCATCAGTTGGCTGCTGCGAGATAAATGATAGTGTGTGGTCATCTGGATGGAGCAGACTGTACGGGTTGCCTTCTCCGTGAAGGGGATATTTTAAGAAACCTGACTGGTAGCCCACACAGAGACGGTCACTGAAGATTGACATCCACTGGACGTTCCCCTGGACTTGGATCTCCTTGATCTTTTTGTGACGTGTCTTACTCTGATTTAGTTCATAACAGAGGACCTGCCTTTTCATAGCTACACACAGGCAGGTAAGAGCTCCGTGGCGCACATGTCCAGAAACTATTGACTGACAGCCTTTTGTCTCTGCCAGCTTATAAAACTCAGTCTCCCTTCCATCCAGGGCGGCCACAGGGAAAAGCCGCACATGACGGTTTCGTCCTGAGATTACTGCAATGAGCTGTTCATTTGGGATAAGCTCTATCTGATGAACCTTCTTGTTGTCACCAACGCGGATAATCTCTAAAAAACAAAACAACACAGCCCCCCCCCAAATCCATGTAAATCATGTTGAAGCGTGACTTGATAACTACATGCATATTTGTAATGATAAACTATGAAGGAAATCCAAGAAATTCCTTTTATTGCTTCCTTGCACTATTAAAAAGCACAGAATTGATCCCTGTATTTTAATAATACCAGATGAGGCAATGTTGGACAGACCTTGGGCTTTCCTCATCAGAAAAAGGAAGGAGCAGATGCAGTAACAACCACCGTATTATTTCAGTATCTATTTCAAAACCCAGTTTATAGTCACAAAACTACCGAATAAAGGAAAATCCTCAAAGAACTGAAACATACAATTAAATATGATGCTTGTTGAATAATCTGGGGCCTCTGTCATTACATCTCTTGACAATACACCAAGCCTTAATTTTAATTTCTGATACTAAGGAGGAGGTTCCAGAAAGGATCAAGACAGGCTCCTTACTGAGGTGCACAGCATGAGAGGAGACAATACTCACAAACTAAAGTGAGGGAGGTTCCTATGGGATAGACAAAGAAATGTCTCATTGCAAGAATGTGCAACAGGCAGCCCAGAGCGATTTTGGAACCTCCGTCCTTGGGGATTTTCAAAACTCGCCTGGACAAAAGTTCTGAGCAACCTGGTCTGAATTCAGTACCGAGCCTGCTTCAAACAAGGGAAGAAAACCTGCAACTGTATTCCAAATGCTGGATCTTTCTTACTGGAAAGGACACACAAACCAGAAAGCACACAGAGCACCCTGATTTTGAACTCTCACAGGGGGCTGTCCAGCTGATAATGTAGTATATCAAGCACAATGAAACCAGAGTGTAATGAAAGAGAGAAAAGTTTACAAAGTCATTTTTCTGACTATTTAATATTAGGGAAATTATTACCAGTTACTAATCTCTTACCGTCCTTGGTGACATGCACAACAAATAACCCTTCTTCATTCCCCAGAGCTATTCTTTCATGGTCTGTGTTATTAAGACAAAAAAAAAAAAGGTTATTTTTCTTTGGAAATACTTCATCAACAAGTAGTGATAATTCTGATTAACAGAGTCAGTTTCTAAATTTCTTGAAATAAACAAATATAAGGCCAAACCAAACACATTAATGTAACTAAAAAATCGTTAACCTTCCAATCTTTCAAATTCCTGAAAAAATCAGTCTTTCCCCATTTCTCCTCTTAGTAGAAGTAACAGCTAGAAACGCCATTTTGAGCAAAGCATTCAGAGCACTTAAGTGTATTACTGAATTTGAAATAATTATAGCATCATATTTAAATAATTCATTTAACATATTTTACGCAGCAGCATTTAAAATTACTAAATTCATTCTCTACTTCTACATTTTCTTTCTCGTCTCACAAGCAGACTTCGTAAAGGTAAAGATTGACGTCTACTCTATAATACTAATTTTGCCTAGCTAAGGAATTATATTTACAAGAATAACAAAAGAGTAATCTCCACTTCTCAGTCAAAATTACTCATGATTATGAATATGTGTCAATAGGGAGAATAATCTTAAAGACTGGACAGTGTACTGGGTAGTGAACTGTACTTCCCTCAAACCCATATGTGTTTCCATATGGGATAAAAAAACCCTATGTATTACTCTCTTTTCAGTAGGTAAACCAGTATTTAATATGTTGAGGGTTTTTTTTTTAAAAAAGCATGCTTTTGGGATACTAATTTTTCTTAGAGCACTCTTCATTTCATACCTATGATTGCTGCTGACTGTGTTGTTTTGATGAGGGGTAAGGTGCTGTCATAAGCTTCTTTGGGAACATAGACTGAACGGTCTTTGAGTTTGTTCTTCTTCAAGATCCTATGCAATTCATTCAGCACTCCTACCCACTTGCTTTTTTCATTTTCACTGTCTGCTAGAATCAGGATTGAACACTTATTACTGGATGCAGAGAGCTGGGAAGCTGTAACCTGCAAAATTTTAAAACATATATTTTAAGTCATAAGTGACCAAAAAAAATCATCATGATCATTTTTACAAGGGTATCTGATGTCCTTTTAATTAGCTGTCTGAACTAAGAACACAGCAATTTAGTTAACAGAAGACATTATCTCAGCTAAGAACCCACAGCAGAAAAACCTGGAAATGTGACAAACTCAACAAAGAACAGAGAAAACTTGGGCTTTATTCCGAACACATTTGTATTTACTCTGTAATTTGGAAATGTCTGCCCTAAATAAGGTAGCTAATTGTTTCCCACAGTAATTTTATAATGAAAAGTATTTCTTAAAAATTGTTCTGTACTTTTCTTAAGGCCAATAGTTTTTGCTAATAATTGAATCCAATAGGAATGGTCTTTACAGAAGAACGATCTGTGATCCTTTTCAGGTATTTGGTACAGCTATTAGAGATCAAAATGAAAGCCCCTTTTGCAGGTTTATCTCCTCTTAGCATGCAGAGTGATGAAAAGTCTTAAATCTGGAAAAACAAGGAGTGAAATACAATGGTAGAGTAAAAGAATGACAGAGGAATTAATAAGACATCAAAGATATTTCATCTAGGTCAAAGCTTCAATAGACTATCTAGGTGAAATAAGAATATGAGAGAAAGCCAATCATGGCAAAATCCTGGTATCGATACCAGACATCAATTTTGATGAGCATTCTACACTAGATTTCTATACTACTTGATGAATGGGAATTTTCAGAGATCCAATGCATACATACAAGGAAAACACATAAAATAAAGGCTTCAGGAATAACACAACAAATTAAATTGAGAAGCAGAGGGCAATTTTAGGAAATGAAAAAGTAGAAGGTCATGAAGAACTGAAGAATTCCAAACTACTAACAGGAAGTAGAGAAAAATACAACTTACTGTGAAGTTTAAAAGAGCAAAACCCACCCAAAGGTGAGATGAGAGCTTCTCTAAACATACCAGCACTATTTTTACCATGAAAATGATATATGTACAGATCTTTATGCACTGCTGCTGCTGCCATGGATACCACATGACCAGAGCTTGCAAAGGAAATAAAATACTAGCAAGCTGTCGGTGACCGCAAACCATCCATCACCTGTGAAACTCTGTACTTCTGGGTTACCAAGTTCAAGATGTAATACTTACCCTAAAAATGCAGGGGATATCTTTTCGATTCGCATGGATGACGTCTGAGGCCAAGACAGAACTCACTGAGAATTCTTCATCCCTTATGGAGATCACAAACATAATTGGAAAAGAGTTAACCAGTGTTATTTACTTATATTTCCACAGTGTCAATAGTCTTGTTTTATGAAGGATGCAACAAGACAGTACTGAGATCTTGTTTTTAAAATTATCCTTCCCTCTTTATCTGCAGATGAAACTCACAAATGCAATGCTGCATAATTAATTCCTGTTAAATGTCGATGGAGACAAACCTATTCAGAGTATCTATTTATTGTCTGTTTAAATTAAAACATTTAAAAAAACCCCTCTCCAACTCTTTCATAAAAATCCATACTCACTAGAAGCTACAAGCTACAGCCGTTTGAGACTTGCTGGATAAACTAACTTAGTTCAGCGATGAGTTTTTACTTTGTTAAATGTTGTCAACCTTTAGTGAAGTTGGCAGTATATCAGTAATACCAAAGACAGCAGAGCCAAACTATTTAGGCCTTCTGAATAAAAAACTGTATTAGTTTTATCCTATAACAAAGTTTTACCTGTCTTTCAAAACTCTATTCAACCCCAATATTAATTCCAGTTATTCTACACAGTTGAACAGATTCAGTTTGGTACATGGTGCACATTTAAATTGCTACATACGAACACACAAGTGTAGTTTAGGCTAACTGCAAACACTGTGTTTACTTTCTGGAAAATTTAGAGGCTCTCAGCATGGATTACAGTGTTTCATAAAAGCTCTGGAGGTTGCTTACTGATTTCACGAGAAGGAAAAGCAGAGAAAAAACCTCCCAGTGCCTCTGAAAAACTCCCACTCAGCATCAAACAGCTTACCTCATGTCTATGACCTGACTCACTACCACGCTGGGCTGGGATGCTTTTCCTTCTGCCACATCGTATAGGAAGAGTTTAAAATCACAGATCACTGCCAGCGCTCTCTGCCAACCCTTCTTTACTCCAGTTGGTTTTGGTACCTTTAGCAAAATACATTCTGATCAGTTCTCTGTAAAACTGCATACAATCAAAAATCAAATGGACAGTACAAAAACCCATTTTCTCACATAGGCTGACAAGATGTTACTCAGTGATAAGATAAAGCAACATAAGCAATAGCACAGGTGCAGTAACAGCATCAAACACAGCCCCACAGACACCACAACATATTATTTAAAAAATTCATACCACCACAGATTCTTTCTTCTTATTTCACAAACTCACTCAAAGCTATATAAACAAATATAAAGAAATCCATTTCAAGTCGATCAACAGGAATATGGCCAAAACTGTGCAGAGTAATTGTTTTAGTATTCACACCAATGGCCCTAGACAGTACTAGTATCAATGGAAAGAAATCAAAAACTCACAGGTGCTGGAAGATGATCTGATCTCTAGAGATGGACTATTCCAAGACTAGCTTAAAGCACAATGGCTGACAGAGACAGAATTACTGCTGAAAAGGCTAAAAGCTGTTTTGTGAAAATTTAGGTCTTATCTTCCACAGTATTGCCTTAAGGTGTAATTGAACCCACTCCCCCTCGATGCCCCAATCAAGAGTATAACTCCACCTCTGGAAAACAACTAATTTCATACAAGTTTCCCAAATGTGACCACCTGATACTTACTCGGACATGTCCCTCATAAGCTGTTCCTATGCCTTTCTGCGGATCGATTCCTAAAGGTCCCTTAGTCTGTTCGGGAGGGATGGGACATACCGCAGGAGCCTTGTCTGCACAGGTCACGTGGCAAGAGAATCCACAGACTTGTGAGGAGGAGGAGAAGACACAAAAAGATTTGATGGTTACTCCTTGTGCAACGCAAAAGCTGTGCTAATGACAATGATGTTTATATAAAGGCATCCTCTCTTTTTTTTGACCAACTGAGTAGCTTCACTGAACTTTGCTAAACCGAGACAGAAACGTGAGACAGCGCACAGCAGCAGTTCGTGCTTTTATCTGCTCTAAATGATGATTTTCTCATTTTCACAGGTGTATGGCTACACAGTCTGGTTTCATCCAGGTAAGACAGAGCCCAATGAGAAGCTCTACTCTACTAGTAAACAAAAAGCTGGAAGCTCCTCTAAATGATGGGTGCCATTCTGTGTACATACAAGCCTAGAATAAATTAGTGCTGGAAAGAAGAAAAATTGGTGCTGTACGGCAAAGCTGTCACATTTTGTCAAGTCTGAAAGGAAAGCTGCTGTCAGCATACCTGGGCACTGACTGTGGCCCCTTATTGCTGTTTTAAGTAAACTGAACTAAGCTCTTCTACCACCAACGGGAATAAGGACGTCTTCAGATAACTAGGTAATCTGTTACATAAGATGCTCAAAGTGTTGAGCTTCTGCTATTAAAAAGCTGAAGCATGAGAATATATTCTCTTACTCAAAATACAAAGAGTAGACTCCTGCACTATCACACTATAACACCTACTGCGCAATTTGCATCTTAAAAACTTCAGTTCACTCTTCCTCCTTTCACAAGTGCTTACCTTCACAAGTACAGCCCTGTCGTATTAAACCGACCATCAGAGACGTGCACTGATTGCATTTTGTTGGTGTATTAAATGATTTCACTACAAACTGGTGGGCTTTAGGCTGTGAAACAAGCAGACAAGGATGTTAACTCCTGTAACAGCCCTGAAGAACAGTTATTTTTTTTTCCCAGACAAAAGAGAACACAGGTGCATTTAAAAAGGTAGCTTATTCATGTTTGCTGAAACGAGATCTGAGCTCCTAAAACACAGGCTGAAAAAAATTCCTTATCAATGCTCATAATTGGCAATTTAAGCCATTCTCCACAAACAAATCCACAGAAACTGGACCTTGTCTCAGAACACAAGTTTGCTTCCACTGCGGATAGGAAAGTTGCCAAAATTATTCCATTATACTCCAGAAGTTGAATGTGTGGATGTATGCCCTGCGTGGGCACTTGGCAGCCAAGGTTAACCCACCGCAGTATTTTGCACACTGCAAATTCAATCTCTCTCTGTAAGAAGTGTTGCCTTAGTTCAAAGAAAACAATCAGAAGCTAGAAAACAGAAAAAATGGAATTCCTTCTCCCAGCTCAGTGCTGCAGTGCTGGTTGTAGTGCTCACTCTACATTTCTTACAAACAATGCAAATCTATGGTTTCATTTTAGGTTTACTCTTTGCCTTTTCTCAAAAATAAGCATCTAATTAGCACACAGACGTGTTAGATTAATCTGAGTCTGGCCCACAGTGACATCAGTTTTCTTGTACGCAGAGGATAGAAGCAGGTTGGTCAGACACGTGCTGAGAAACTCTTTCTGGGAAGTCTCTTTTCCTTACCTCATGTTCTGGTTCATTTTCCTTTTCCTAATGTCCAAACTACTGTTTTTCTTAGAATTAAATGTCTGTGTGCCGCTACAGTGGAATGCTTAGTACAACCTGTCACACCACACAATGTGAGAATGAGGAGTTTTAAGTTTTAGAAAGCAAGCAGCTTGCATACAAACAACCCTTCTAAGCAGTTCCGGTAAGATTCCTGTGACAAACAGTTCTCCTGAAGCTGTTGCTCAGGAGTGATACTTTCCCCCTTACTATATAAAAAGTGTGAACTCTTGACTGAATACCTTTGGTGCAGAGAGTCCCGAACCAATATATGCTGTCCTCATGGTTGGTGTGTGAATTGAACGCGGAGGATGATCTGTAACCTGAACACAGTCCCCACAAGATCAGTAAGATATCAAATACACACTATCAAAGATAGCTTGAATAAAGTAAAAAGACAACATCCCACCCACTCCGTCCCCAAACACAAAAGCAATGAAAAACCGTTTCACACAGGAAAACTCTTATTTCTCAGCAAAACCATATGTAAAACTCATCTCCTAAATGTCAACAATAACTTTTATTATCTTAAACATTTGATTGAACTTTTCTAGTGTAAACTAATCCAAGAGTTAAATTTCTTAGCAGTGAAAGGTGATACATTATCACAATTGCAGAGCCTGGCTAATACTTCATTGGGCAAGACTTTTAGCAGGACTCCATATACCCTCTTACAAGCTACAGTGTAACATTAATTTTGTAACAATTTTGTGCAATATTCATGACTGAGGGTATGTTATGAAGAGAGATTGTATCTTGTAATTGATTCAACAGTTCCCATTCCTAATCAATTAACCATATGTGAAAGGAAATGCAACATTCCCCCCCACACAGTTCACCACTAGTGCAGAAAGCTGGAGTGACCTTTATTCTAAATAAAAGGATTTGCAGTAGCAATTTTTATATGAGTGAAACTATTACTCAAAAAAAAAAGAAGGATACAAAGATTTGTCAACACTGAAGTACCTCGATTGGTTCAATCTCACTAGCTGTAGAAGGAGACCTTGATCTTGAATGGAGGTGAGACTTGCTATCTTCATCCCGTGATGGAGTATTAGACAAAGTAAAATTCTCAACTGAATCAATCTGAGAGAACAAGCCAAGAGAAAAAAAAACAACCAGAAAAAATAAATCAAAGACATCATTAAAAAAGAATTTTCAACTCTTACCAAAGTAAGATATGGGAGCAGTAGAACTCCTAAGAGAGAACTGAGAGGATAGAAATTCAGTTTTAAGCAACTTCCTAATAAAAGTACAAAACTGCAATGGAAATTATCGAATATGAACACCCCAAGACTTCTGCTGAAAGGTGAGCACATGCGTAAGAGCTGCTAGTTCAGGGCCCTGATTAACACTTGAAGAGACTCATAATTCAGCATTTTTAAAAGGTGAATATTTTCTAAACACTACAGTGTTTTGTCCACTGGTAGTAGAGATTTGTAAGAAGTGAATTCCCATATAGCCCACATAAATCACTGCAAACATACTTAGGAGAAAATAAGGAGAAAAGGCAGAGCAAGCAACATATTTCCCAACTTAGTGTTAACCATATTCACAGAAATTGAGGGGCTTTTTGGTACCCCATCCTTAACATCCTTAACAGGAGCACATTTTCTTCAGGGGAATATTTTCCTAGTCCTTGATATACAATGGAACTAAGCCCAACACAGAACTGCACTGAACAATGAGGCATACAGGTACAACCAGGTATCTTGGATAGCAAGTCATCTTTTGTCATTGCAACCGAAAAATCAGAGAATGCAGGATTCTTCCTGGAAAACAAGACAGCTCCACATCAAAGTTTTCTATATAAATATATTTAAAACAATAAAAGCGAGATGAGGATGCTCTTCTTCACTAGTAACGCATCTAAAGGCTGGAGGCCTATAGAAGGCTCCATTGCATGCTTGGCTTTTCTGGAGCATCGCTATCATCAGTTTCCCACTGCTAAGGAATAGGCTAGCTTGCATACAAACTAAAATATGCAGCAGCATTTACAGAAAGCATTCAAACATTCCAGTGGTTTTTTATCTCATTTGCCATTGACATCACACCAAGAATTCCACAAATTTTACTGCTTTTTGGGAATAAAATATACTGCCAAGCCAATCTTATACATGCATATACAATCCTGTTCTCCAGAAACTCAGTCATGGTAGCGAACAGGTGCAGTTGCTGGGTTTTTTTGTTTGTTTGTTTGTTGTTGTCTTTTTTTCCCTTTAAACAGTAATGAGTTAAGTTTGATGGCTTCTAGTTTTATCACAGCCTCAGAAAAATGTTATCTGGTAGAGAAAGGTTATTAGCTCAACCAATTTAGGCATATTAAGAGGCCTGCAAATATTTATGGAATCAAAATGAAAAAATTCTCACACTGGGATCCACCTGTTTTCTACACATAGATCATGTGTTTCAAGCATTAAGGCAAAGATCAGCAATAAAGCAAACATTTTATGGTTTGATTTATCAGAAGCAAATATTAATTGGAAGCTTTATTCAGTATTAGAAACACTTATGCCTTTAAGTAGTAAATCCCTAGACACATAAGATTGTTTCAATTATTTTAAACTTTTTTCTTTAATCCAGTCTAAAAGTGTGACAATTTGGAGTCCACTCAAAGACTGTTTAACCTCAAACAAATCTACCTTCTACTTGAAAGTGTTATCAAAAAATAAGCCCAATGAGTAACTACAGGTAAATTTTTCACAGCAAGAAACAGACACTCCTTTTCCTCTGCAAGTTAAACTCAGAGATCAAATCTATCATTTCATAAATGTTTCCACATACTCCAAAGGCTTTCTCTTTCAAAGTAGCATCTGCATACTAAAGAATTCTCACAGTGTCTCTTAAAAGTTTTAGTTCAAGCATGATATGAATGATGGAACTTTTCTGGAATGTGCTACAAAGCTTCTGTGGTTGAAGACAACTGCTGAAGCAGTAACAAATGCATTTTTACTTTGCCTATGAACATAAAAAGTCCACAAAACACACAGAACCTGATCTACCGTTAAAGCTGTATTGCTGCAGTCATCTCCGGGCTCCTTGCTTTAATGAGAAGAACTAAGGACAAAAGCAACTTGACTCAACTACGGCCATTAAAATGAGTTTTAAACTAACCCAACTGAGCATCATTGCTTATTTATTGCATATTCACTATAAATGTTTTACATGCTTTCCTATTCCTATCACCATACGTGTAAAAAAGAAACAAAAGTTTCAGCATGAGTTTAGGATGGACACAGCATACCTGGTGTGAATTCAGACTAACAAAGCTTTGAGAACACATTTAAAAATCCACCTTGATTTCTGAAACAACATAGAGCTTTCCAGCTTAATATACTACAACACATCCAACTCTGTTTTCCTTGCATGAATTTCTCCTACCCTCCTTGACGCTTCAGTTTATTGAGTTGCCCACTTCCCATTAATTTGCCTCAGCCCTATCCCTATTTTCTGTCATTTGCTATGACACATCTCCCAAATGCCAAATTCCTACCTCCTCTAAGCAATGCCCATAACTTGGCACGTGCTCTCTGCTAAGGGCAAGGAAACAAACAGGCCCTCATTCGACATTTGCTCATCTTCTCAACCTGCATCACCTGATCAGCTTCCACACAGGAATGAGAAAGTACCCAAACCATCTTCTCCAGTTACTGTGGTATTCTGCTCATAGGATTACCAAATGAGATACTCCAAAAGCTTTTAGCTCACAGCTGTAAACCAACAAAAAGCACAGCAGCAGCAGGAGCAGCAAGCTGTAGCAGCAGCACAAGACATGCAATGAGGTAAATACACAGTCCATACATAAAACAAAGGCATGTACACAACAGGCAAAAAAATAAAGGGTCACATAGAGTAAGACAGCCTCTTACACGTCTGCCTTTGTTAGCTGGAATACAGGAAGGAGAGCGCTTAAACAAAGAAAGGAGGAGAATATGTTACAAAACCAAACACTGACACATACATGAGCTCAGAATTCGTCACTCTGTATCTCCAGAGGTAGTGTTTAGACACGCACAAACACATCCGTTTTTACAAGTATTTTGAAAACAAGATATTCTGGGGCAACAAGAGGGAAGAAACATTTTTTTAAAAAAAAGGAATGCATATTTTAAAGTCTGCAGTTTTACACCAGACAAAAGCAGTGAAACTGCAAACTACATTACACTGATAATTTGCATTTAGCATCTCTGTACTTTGAACAAGTTGAATAAAGAAATCTCTTGGAGGTGCAGTATGTCCAATTTAAAGCATCATTAAGAAACAGAATTATCCTAAACTTAAGTATGAATGTGCAGGTAGACTCAGGGCTCTCACCAGACAGTACTATGGCTTATTCTGATTAATAATGAGAATTCAGAACATGATTCATTCTGTGGTTATTATCAAAGTTCAGATTTGTTTAGTCTGATCAACGCCCACGGGGACTGCATGGGAGGACAGAATGCTGGAGGATTTAAGAAATCTGTTTTTCATTTGTAACGTATTAATAACAGGCAAAATAGTATTTTCTAGCAAATAGTTTTGTATTTAATTTAATAACCATTTCTTGGTTATTAAATAATCACAAATTCACTTTTAAATAAAATAAGTTGATTGCTTCTAGAAGCTAGTGAGATACACAAAGATCCACCTAGCAAAAAAACAAACCCCACAGTTCCATTATCAGAGACTTCTAGTGAACACAGGAGACTTAACACCTAGACAACGTTACTGAGAGACAGTCTGCAACACACAAGAGAAACAGCGGCAAAGATGTAGAAATCTGTATGTTAGAGTCGCTGGTGGTGACTTCCCTCCCCACCACAATCGGAAACCAGGAACAGCAAAACCAAAAGATACAAGGATCATTTCTGAACACGTGGGCTTTCACAGCTGTGAGGATTTAGGCGCCAGTTCTGCCAACTTGACCAAGTATCTTTTCAAGGAGGGACAGGTGGAACTAGCAGTGAGTCCCAGGCATCTGAACAGTGAGTAAAAACTTTCCTCCCTCAGCACGTGCAGGCTACAGAGGCAGGAGGACCTCTACTTTTCACTTCTCCCCAGCAGAAATTGCAAACTCATCATTTTCCTCATTCAAAAAATTAAAACTAATTGTGGTCACTCACAGAGTGCTATAAACAACTACGTTATTCAGAGGGCCGGCACGCAAGGCATACCCACCCTAGCAAACTCTAAATGTAATCAGTGGGGCAAACTCAGCGTTGCTTACACATCTATACATTCTGCTGACTTCAGAGATCTCGCAGAGCGTGCTACGTAACTGCAACTGCAGACTACTTTACACTCTCTCTGTCATTTCTTAATGAAGCACTAGAGGTTGAAGAAAGAATACGAGTCATTAATAATATGTACATTGGGTTCTTGATCGCAGGAAAGGCTTTCCTGAAACCCATGCAATACTGCAGCATGGCTTGAGTCTAACTTGAGGACTTCTAATTCTTCCTTGGTCTTAATACAAAGAAACCACAGGCTTCTCAGGTTTGAGTGAGCAGAGATAAATTCTTCTTGAGTTGCTGCAAGAAAAACTGATCTTCAAGGTAACTACTGTCAAAGACACACTGGAAAGGGAATGGAGAACACATTCAGTGGGGAGGGATTTGTAATACCCTTATTTTCATTTAAGACTGCCTAATACACTGATTACGAACCAACTCAATGAGCTAAACCATAAATAACCATTCCTTTTGATAATTCATAGGCTATACATTATGAATCTCTCTATGAATAAATCAAGTAATTCTCCAGTAAAAGAAAGAAGCAGAACTGACTAAGCATAACTTAATTACGCTACCTTCCACTTTCTAAGGTGGACATGAGCTTTAGCAGGTACCTCAGCAAGTCTTGTATTTGTCTGCAAGGTACTCTTCCCATCTTTCAACAGCCAACTCTCTCCTCCTGCAGTTTTGCCAGATAAGAAAAAATTCTACCCCAGTGTTAGAGACATTAGGCCCCGGCCCATCCACTCCAGAAATGTACCCTTGCCCAATGTGACTGAGAAAAACATGTTCCTACTGGACTCAGATGTAACAGGAGAAGTTCAATTCTATGCGTTGCAAGTCATCCACATTCCACAACATACACATAAACACCTGGAGTTTTACCTAGGACTAAAAAGTGGGTATCTGAAAAGATTTGATCTGATAGGACCAATCAGGAAGAACGCCTTACAGGATGTAATGCCAACAGTTGAAGATTATTCACTTGCATAGATTAAAAAATGTGATTCTGTAAAAACGCTTGTGAAAAAAACATGATGCCTTCTTACTAAAAAAAAAAAAGACCTCCCAAGACCCCCAACAATAAATACAGAATAAAGAACTGATGTCCTTCAGAACTAACTAGATAGCAACCAGACAAACCTTCTCGTCCTATGTTTTCCCTTGCAAAACAGATTATCAGTTACTCTGGCACATATGGACTTTATTTTTCTTTTAACAGGCTTTAGGAGAGAGTATTAGATGTTTTTAAAGGTAGCTCTGTGGAAGAACCTGCTTACACAAACTAGTACTCAGGCAACGTAGATAACACTTCTTTAATCCAGATAAAGGATATAAATATTATTCATTTATTGTATATTTAACATGTCAGTAAACTATATTCTTGTTTTTTTTCATTGAAGAAAATTCCAAGAATACAAGCAAGATAAAGTTTCCTATATGCTACACAAAAATGCAGGCAAATACCTCTCCTACGGTACAACAGATGTACCTTCACATTTTGTCTAATGTATATACCTGATTTACAAAAATAAAAGCATCTAAAACAAAAGCATTCTTTCAGAGGTTGTAACGGAAAACGCAGTCAGTAGAACAGGCCCATATACTATACCCTTCACAGCAGACATTTCTAGGATAAAATTAATTATATCACATTTTAATGCAAATAGGCTTATACTGGTTTAAATACATATGCATAAATACGTGCATATGTGTATACACATATATACAAGCACACACAGACATACACACACAAGGTACCTACGGAATTGTAACGGGTGGTTCTCTACCGTGGGGGTATAGTGTATACTTTGATTTTAAAAAGCTTATTATTATTTACTTTTATGTGCCTATTATTTTAGTCCGGAGGAAATATAATGCAGTTGATTTTCAGTTTTTAACTCAACTCCTTTAGTACACAATTAACTAGGGTAAATATTTAAACACTGTTCTGACAGAAAACTAGCATCCCAAATGGCAATAAAAAATAAGTTCATTTAACTTGTAATGAAAATGACTTCTTACAATATAGGCTAAAACTTTAGATATGTAGGCTAAATATTTTATCTGAGCAAACAGAAATTAACTGTATGCAAGGAAAACATTTTCAGTGAAGTGATTAGAAAATGTTTGGAAACAACTAATAATAAAGTAATAATGTGAAGCACTGGAACTAAGTGAAATAAACATGCCAGTGGCTTTTGGAACCATTTTCCACAGGCCGTATCAGTAGACAAGGCCCAAAAGCAGCTTTTTCGCCATTAGAAAAACTGTTTGCAATTAAGAATTCTTCACTCACAGCTAAAGAAAAACATTTAGTTTAAAACTGAACATCTATCTATATAAATCTGTGTAAGTATGCTACTACAGAAATATTTTGTTCTCCGCTGCACTTGCAATTTTTTTTAAGTTGACTGCATTAATGTTTGAATATTTCAAATCAATCAACTGATCTCTGCTCTTGAGGGATTTACTGGTTTGAAAGTCAGACTTACGTCATCCATAAAATCAATCAATGAGGATGAAGAGGAGGAAAAGGAATCCTATTTTAATGAAAACAGCAGTAAAAAAAAAGAGAGAGAGAAAGAGATGGATGAAGAAAACTGTTCAGCATAAATAAAAGTGCAAAAAATAAAGAACTGTAACTAATGTCAGTAACAGTTATCTAAGCAAGTTTTCATTAATTGCCTTTTATAGACAATTAAACTACCTGTATAAACCCCAATGCTTTTCCAGCACTGAAGTCAATGAAATAATATTCCTACATTTCAACAGGATTTTTATATTGAAAGCAACTTCAAAGATAAATAATTAAAAAGCAAATTAAAAAATGGTATTAATTGTGAGGACTTCAGGTGAGAAAAATGAATTAATGAAAACACAATGAAAAGAAAGTAAATTCTGAAACATCAGCAACACCAGAGGTTACCCTCTTTCAGACCTAAATGTAGTGACCTTGTATACCCAACAGGAAAAAAACGGTGCAAATTTTAGACCAATGTCTAACTGTGAAAGCGGTGCCTTTTTCTCTCTGAATTCAGTTTGACCAATATTCCACCTCGGCTGCCCATTTAAACGAAAAATGATGCACTGCTTACTGCTGATTAAAAAAAGAATATATGAAATGTATAGTCTTGTTTCGTTTTTTTTTCTTCCAGGTTTTCTACCTAAACTGGTCTTTTGTCTAAAAGCGATAAAGGCATTAAACAGATTTATTTTTGAAGCATATAGGAACTGCGTAGAGGAGATAAATAGTAACGATCTGGATTTTACAGATCTCTATAAAATGAACAGAAGACAAAAACAACCTAATAAATATACAGTACCAATCACTTCATGAAATACATTTAAGGATTATTAATGTATTTTCTCCAATCTTTACCAAACGGCTATTCTCATTACTTAGCGTTTTTCTGAATACAAAGAAAGACCATTCAAGATCTGAGAGAGAATTCGCTATGATTACTAGTGCTGAAGAGAAGACAGCCAGCACTGTAAATAGACAAACAATTCTCACATACACAAAAAATCAAGAGGGAAATATGATTAAAATACAGCAGAAAACTCTCAGAAAATACACATATAACTTGCACGTAACAGCAGTAGTTCCACTGACTAAGAGAGTGAGAATAGCTGTACACTTACTTCAAATTGATCCAGAGCAGAGGTAGGCGCATTCAAAAATGCCAAGAAAGAATTCTGTGAGTCTTGGTGCTTTACACCTAGAAAACAGCAGCAGGTTTTTAAGCTACAGAAAAATGACCTTTTCATGGAGGACCTTTGCCTTGCTGAATCAGGGTTTGAGTACCCACCTGAACCATCTACATTTTTTGAAACAGTTGTCGCATTTGGCCTGTTTTCCAGAGGAAACAATTTTTTTTAATAGACACACACGCACTGAGCAAGCAGCGCACGTTTAACTAACCTTTTCCAAGCTCGGAAGCGTGTGGCGTGAATTCAATGTGAAAACGTACTGTACGTACGTGCCTGTTACGCAGAAGACGTAGGTTTCTAATGCGCTTACGTCCATTTGCACCGCACGAGAGATGCACACACGAACGTGGGAGACTCTGTCAGCCCTGCTCCAGCCACCTGCCGGAGGGCCTGCCGCGACCAGATGGCTTTAGCAAGCAGCCAGGTTCCACAAACATGTATGAAACAGGCTGCTTGAGGAACGCACTGCATCTCCAAATAACAGGAGTTCCTTGAGCCATGCTCTACGCCTGCCTGCCACCTCTCCCTTGGGAATGCCCAGGAGCAACACGATCCTGGGTAGCGCTTCAAGCGTCTCTGTCAGGCTGCACCATTTCACATGGTTCTGAGCCAGTAAGCAGAGCAGGAACGCTGCATCCTCTGGAGCTGCAGAGGCTGGCACATCTCTACTGCTATTTTAACTTGCTTCAACTGATATTTGAATATTTTTTTTTAAATTCTGCTTCTTTTCTTTGGGGAATAATCCAAGTTGCTGTGTGGGTGTTTATAAATCACAGATGTGTGCAAACTCTAGCTTCCTGAACACTACAAAGGCATTATATACATACCCTTACACCACAGCCCGCAGGACTACGTGCATCTCAAAAGACTGATGCTATCAAAGGTCACTTATTTCTTCTTCAAAATACCAGTGTCTTGCTCTAACTGGCCATATTACCCTGTTTGCTGTAACTCTAACCCATGGTGAATAAAGAAGTTGAAAAGAACCTTTTCCTCTTCAAAATATAAATACTCTGAAACCCCAGTGAAAAAATAAAACCAATTATAGAATAATTTTTAGTAATCTTTTTCCCCATCTTCCTAAGTTTCTGGAACACACTTACAAAGAGCAAAGGATTCAAGTGCTAATCTAAATAATTCTTTCCTAGAAATCCATTTCCACACCCAAGAAGTTACTCTACCACTGTGCACTGGCTACATTTGAATCCTCAACATGGTTCATGATTCAAACATCGTGTATTTCTTCTTATAAGGGAAAACCAAGTCCAAAGTTAATATGCATTTTCAATTAAGCTGTATTTCTATAAAAATCTTTCAATAGTTGCAGTAGAACGTTATTAGTTTACTGCTAGCAAAAAGTATAATCATTAACTTATCCTTGAACAATATTTCTTCTTTTTTTAAAGAAAAGAGTAAATAAACTATAAGGTTTTAAGCACAGGGTAAGATATTAATTATAAATCCTTAACAGATTAACACAAAGGAAGATTTCAGAAGCCAAGTAACCATGCATAATATTTAAGAGAGTTCAAGAATCTAAAAATGAAAGCTAACATGACAAAGCATTATTATCTCCAACGAGATGCAATCAAGAGTTCCTCTCCAACCACTGGGAAGCAGCATAATCCTGGTATCAGTGCTAAGCATCAAGGGGAACAAGTATAAATTTCCTAAGTCTTATTTGCTAATCAGCACCAGTCATTTTTTAATGTTCTGCACAGGTTCGTATTAGTTTTACCAGTCAACCAGCACTTGGAGGACTATATACAGGAGAAGAATGTTAACTACAATGTATTATTGTTTGACACACTGTTATGTTGCAAAGGCTGAACACATCTGACATCCCTATGCAGCAGTTGTTGCCAGGGTTTTGAAACCCTGGAGTTCAAACAGTTCCCTAGAGAAAATTAGGTAATTCCATTTGGTCTGAAAAATCACTTCTTCCCCTGTGACTTGTAAGATACAAACATTAGAGCTACTACAGGAACTGCAAAGAATCAGCCAAATCATTAATCATGTCTCAACGAAAAGTTTTTTCATTTCATAATCACCAGAAAGTCTCTTCTCCCAGCAACAATGCAAAATGCTGTTAGTTGGATGCACCAGAAATCCCAGAACATACTCTTAATACCACAGCAGAGCAAACATGACCACAGTGCTCACTACGGGGTTACAAAGCGAATCACCAAAGTCATCCCAGAAACAAATGAATGCTACGAATGCCGCTGCAGTTGTTTACTCTCTGTGTAGACAGGGCCAAAATATTCACAGATGAAGAATGCTACGATCAGTATTGAGGTCTAAATAGCTTTGCCCAACATAAAGTGGAGAAAAAAAAAATTATATACTTCTAACCGTTTTCTGGCAGGAAATCATCATACACATGCCCAATAAAAAGAATGCATTTTCAACTCAAAGAATATTTTACTGGTTCCAATATACCAACAAAACTGAAGTGTATTACAAGTATGTATTAGAACTGCAAATTCAACTGCTGTGGGTACATCTTAACAAGCAATTCTTGTGCTCATGTTTTGTATGCCAAAGTCTGGCAATACTATACTGTAGTTGCAAGTTAACTCTTAACTGATAAGATGTACCCACCAATTTGAAACATGTTATTGACTTGGAGATTTGTTGCCATACCCTTTTCTGATCTAAGCTCTTCTGTCTCCTTCTTCAGCCTTTCAATATCTGACAACAGTTCCATGTTCTTCTTCTCAGATTCTTGCAGTTTACTTCAAAAGAATACAAACAAAAAAACCCATGTAAATATTGTGAACTCACTACACAAGTCACTCTCTTTTGTCCATCTTTGCTATTTAAAAATTAATTCCCAGGAAGCTTCATGATGACACCGAATACTAGAATGAATTCAGAAATCTATTGGGACCTATTTAGTACAGTATCTTAAAAAAACCCAAACCCAACAAACAGAACAAGCAATTAATTGTCCCTGTTTACCCATAAAATAGGTTCACGTTTTTAATTTATGAGTATTTGTGTGAGCTTGTGTCCCGTGACTGAGAAAAAAAGATCACATTTATTTTTAAGCTTAAAAATCAGGGGTGTTTTTATTTGTCAGTTCACAGTGTCTGTGATACTAAGTCTATGTTGAACTATCTTTCTTCTCAGTTACTTCAGTGCTTTCCAATTCACAGCTGAAAGTAATACTGTTACACATTCCTACAAAACTTCTCATCCTTGCCTGTCAAAGCAAACACTGGTTCTCCTGTTCTTAGATGACCTACAGTGCTCCTGAAAAATACCCAATTCAGGTAGACAAGGTATTTCCACCATACAGAAAACATACTTGAATCTCAGCTCTGTCCAACTGCTTTCCTAAAGCCGCAAAACAAGTCAGTGCTCTTGAGCTAGATTGCAGCTGGAGACCTAGAAATGGAATGTCTTCCCACTAATCCCTGCTTCAAGCATTCACCCAACTCAGAATAAATTTTGCTATTAGGTGGGGCAATGAAAGAGAGGTCTGAGGAAGGAATAAAAGAGTTCATAATCTTTAATAACCACATCTTATTACTGTGCAAATCAGTAAGCAGTAACTGGTTTTTGTCAGCTAATCCAATGCAGCTATCAATAAAACTGAAAAGAGCATGTTCTAAGTAAAATGTGAAACCAAAGTCTTCTTGCATTTGAACTTGCTATCACAACTAGGAGAGATTATTAAAGAGAAAAAGTGTTTCCTCTGAAGTCTTTGAGTTTTCAGATTTTCCCAGTAAGTGTTCATCTACTTACAGAATGGAGAGAGATGGTCTTTTTTTCACAGTTGGATATAAGAAACTGGAATATCATTCATTACCGATTTTGACAGACAAGATAGTTAAAATCATGACATTCCCTGGGATGTATCAAAGCAAATTTCCATCAGAACAATTTGGTCTTACCACTCTGTAGAGATGCAGGAAGCTTTGACTTTATTCAACTCATCTTGAATAGCCTGTTTGGCTCGGATTTCAGCATCAAGAGCAGACTGCAGTTCCAACCTTGCAGACATATCCAGTTTTGCAAAGCGGCGCATCTTCCAGGGCATGTCCTAGTAAAGAATAAGAGAAGAGAATTAAAAAAAAAAGTAAGAGTAAAGAAGGCTGAAAATGAGCAATGTAACTAACTTCAACTGTTACATTTCTCACTCTATTACACTCTTAACATAAGAGTTCATTAATTCCAAAGTACTCTAAAATTTAAAAAGTATTGTTATTAGTATCATTATTTTTAAACTCAAGTACTGAATAGGCAAGACGAATGTCTTACGCTATCATGACCTCAAAAGCAAAGAGATTTTGTGAATTCTTGTTTTGATGTGTCTCAATTTAAATGGCAGCTCCAAAGTACATTCACATTTCAGAAATGAAAGACTTTAAGGCTTTCATGACCCAGAGCAAAATTTTCCTTCAACAAATTCATATATGATTATAAGATAACTACTTGAACAGTAACATATTATGAAGGTATTGGTGATTAATTGACAAACAGTGAATTTGTTATGCAGTTATTCAGAAGGGAAGCTCTACAGAGGTTTAACTTTTGACTCTTAACAGACTCTACAATTTGCTACTGCAGCTGAAACGACCAAATTAGTGTTTTTTTCAAACAAAAAAAAATTCTGACATATGGAAGCAGAGTCTTACTGTAGCTCTTGCACCCAAACTGGAGTTCCTCAGGGCCTCTAGTTCTTCTGTCATTTTAGAGGCCAAGGCTTGAAGATAACCTCGAGCATCTTTTTCATCACTTACCCTAAACAATCATGTAAGAAGAAAAAGGTGTTTTAAGCAAAGAATCTAAAGAAAAAACAAGTCCCTTCAACAAAATAGCAATCAAACCCAGAAAAAAAAACCATAGTACAAAACAGAAATCATAAAACATACAGGAAAAAACGAACAAAAAAAAATTATCCAGAAAACTACACAGAACTCTGCTGCTTTACAGAGTTCCATTAAATAATAAGCATCACTAAAACGGGGAATAAAGATTGAAGAACTACATACCTAAGTAAAAAAAAATGTCTTGATATAAATGTCAGCTACCTGAAATTGAGACTGTGGGAAGGAAACCTTTCAGGATTCAACCTATGTTTAGGGAATAAATTAAGACAGAATGTATAACCAATAAACTACCAATTCAGCTGCCCACATAATACTGGAACTAGTGGTTGACTACTGTATCAATTGACCGTGAGAACTAGTAGTAAGAATCAAACAGAGATATTATTTCAAGAAACACTAATTAAATAGGGAAAGTCTAATTCTAATGTTATCAAACAGCATAAGCCAGAAGAAGCGCTCTTCCCCCAAACTTTCCTCCTATCAAGACACGTTTTCAAGGCGTAAAGACATCAAGGAGGAGACATGTCTGTTTTTCAGATTCTTTGATCACCAGTTACAAAGAAAAAAACCCAAAACTTTCTGTGATTAATCACAGCAGAAGGTTCTTTCTTCACTTTGCCTCGGGTATTAACAGAGAAATTGCTAAAGAAACACCTCACCAATACTAAGCAGCTTATGAAAAACCTAAAATAAACAAACAGGAAAAAAAGAAATACTGAAACAACATCACCTCGTGTACACACACGCCCAGTTCTGAACATACTCGTCTTGCCCACAGAAGAAGTAACTCAGTTCTGCAACACCAGGGCATACCTGAGCCTGTGAGCTGGTCTCACAGACACAGCATCTACCAACTCTAACCACAGGAATGTTCAGGTTGTGCTTTAAATAATGAACCTGTTTTAAATGAAGCAGTTCTTTATGATTTATAGCAAAGTAGGAAAACAACTTTTCTGTTTCATGAAAATTAATTTATCCTTGCTTCCTGATCTTTCCTTAGTAACTGTAATCCTGAGTATATTGGACTGGAGACAAGAGTTCTCGACGGTCAAATCTGTCTCGCAGTGACCTTTCTGCAGAAAGCAATTCCCCCTCCATGCCTATGAAGCAATCTACATTCCTCTCGTTGATGCTGCAAGGTTCATACATGCAGTGAATATGGATACAGTGTTACTTGCAAGTTTACCATTAATTAAATAGAAATAATACAATGTTTCAACAAAGACATCACCAGGAGGCAAGACATACAGAGAGCATGTAAGGGAGGAAGAGAGGAGCTAACCCAAGGGGGCCTTAGGGCAAGGTCACAAAGTTCCAGCGGTGGCCTCAACACCTGCAGGTGGCGGTGGGGTTTAAGAGGTATATATAGGCAAGGCTGCTCTCATACAGAGGAGGCTAATGCAAAACCTGTGACCGCTTGCCGCAGAACTCACAGAACCCAACAAGAATAAGGAAGCGCTTATTCCCGTTTGGGCTTCATCTTTGTCTCCTGCTTACAATTGAGTCCAAGAGGTGGCGAGGCGCCTGGCGAAGGAACACGTCCTGACTGGTGAAGTCAGTGAGAGTTTTGATGTTAACGAGTCACTGTTCTTTCCAAGTTACACCAGATACCAACTTTTTTTCCCTCCCCATAGCATTCTGGATGACACATTTTGATAACTAAACACAGGTAATCTTGGCCACACAAACCACTTAGGGTGTAAGATTGGGGAAAAGATGTGAGAAGCAGCATGAGATGCCTTTGGGAGGGGCATGGTGGTGGTTCCACATAATTAAAGACAAAGTAAATAGAATCATAGAATCATAGAATGGCCTAAGCTGGCCCTTAGGGATCATTTTAATCCAGCCCCCCTGCTGCCAGGGACGCCACCTGTCGACTAGATCAGGGGACCGACCGGGAATCGAACCCACAACCTTAGCATTGTTAGCGCTACGCTCAACTGATTGAGTGTAAGCTGAAATAAAGGCAATGTGAGGCTCTCAAGGTGAGCAACTAAGTTTTCCTTATGTACAAAAGAGTGAAAAGACATGTAGGGATCAACATTTTATCTTCTCTTTTTTTAAAGACATGAAAAACCTTTGCATAAAAAGGAGGCAATGTCAGATTAAAAATAAAATTCAATTGGTACTTTATTCTTCAGCTTTTCTAACTAAAGCTGAAAAAATTTAAATTCCCAAGTTCTTTGTCAGTTTTATCATGCTATATAGATCCTTCCTCATGGAAGGTGAGAGAACACTTCAGATATTTGGTTTGTGATGTACAGAACCTTCAGGCTCTATCTAAAAGCTGAAAAGCTGCACATGCAAAAATCTCAGAGAGATGTCCCACAGAACACGGAGAAATCTAGAAAATGAAAACATGCACGTAAAGTCAATTTTTGCAAAAATCTATACTGAATTAAGGGAAACTCCTCAGAGACTCTTTAGGAAAAAAAAGCAGTAAAATTTGGAGCCGAGATACAGTTTTGTTGTCCACTAGATGGCAACATTCTCCCGATAATGAGATGCACTGATTAAATACTCTGTGAACTCAGGACCTCTTACAAGATTCTTCATTACTTTTTTTCCTGGGGTTTTGTTCATTTTAGAAAAAGACAGAGCTAGAATGGTAAATCTACTCTTGCTAACGCTTCCCTCCTTGCTCCATTCTTACAGAGAACCCTAACAATCACAGTAGAAGACCTAAGGAAAAGTTCTTCATGTTCCACCCAGAACCACTTCCTTCTTTACTGAAAATTTAGATCCAGTTTACTGTTCTGTTTTCATATATAATGTATGTGTCCTTGCAAGCTTAGCTCATTAACTATAAAGAACCTAGAACAGCGAAATAGTAGAAATTCCTGTAAAATTAAATTTAAGTTTTTGTTAATATGTTAATATCTTAGGGGCCAGTTAGCCCAGTTGGTTAGAGCGTGGTGCTGGTAACACCAAGGTCGCGGGTTCGATTCCTGTTTGGTCCCCGTGTGTTGCCTGATCTAGCTGAGAGGCGTCCCTGCCCGTGTCAGGGAGGTTGGATTAAATGATCTGTAAGGTCCCTTCCAGCCTAGGCCATTCTAGGATTCTATGATCCTAAAGCCCAGAGTCTTATGCCAAGTTGCATTTTACTAGACAGAAGATCCTCAAGGAAGTCTGAGAACTGTGATTTCCAACATTCCTGTAGTTTCTCAATGCTTTTAAATTTCTGTCTTCATATTATTCTGCTCAAAGCCTCCAACTTAATTTTTCTGTTTTCCCCTGCCCTATTCAACAAAGTCTGGTTTTTAAAACTACTTCTTTGAAAATTTTCAACAATTTACTCTGCTGTCAGACCCTGAAATTTCCCCCAACCTCCAGAATTTCTGTTTTAGGGAGAGTTAATTTCTTGTTATTCTTATCTCAAACACAATGCATCTCAAAATTTTTCATGTTTTAAGTTTCCTACAGTTGAATTTGCCCAGAATTTTTCCTAATCCCTTTCCACAATTTGCATGTGCTTTCTTCTGAGAGTAATCAGATTTCAAAAACAACCAAGAAAACTTTGGGGCTGTTTTATGTTTGACTTAATGCAGAAGTGTTTTGGGGTGTTTTTTAGTTGGATGTTTGTTTTTAAATAAAATCAATGGTTAAGATAAAATCAAACATGGTACAGTAGATTGAAAAAATATCCAGTCAACAAGGAAAAGATTAACTCAGTCTCCTGGTAAACAACAACTACAGATTCTGGCCAGCTGAACCTAAGCCTAACATCCACTCGATAGGTAAATCAGGTATGACTTAGTTAGTCCAGAAAAATATACTCAACAACACTGAATTCTTCATTTGAACTAGTTGTCTAAGTTTTCTTTTAAACCAGTGGGAAGAAACTTCTACAACACTAGTCATGAGATTTATTTCAGTTGTCTACCTTAGGACATCTAGAACTAGGTTATATGAATCCCTCCCCGAAAGACTAGTAAGTTAAGATTCCTACCAAGTACTCTGGGAATCACTATCAAGATTTCCATCGACCTCCTTTCTGCAACAGAAGTACAGTACTGTGGCTATTTAAAAGATTCCTTTTTAAAATGACTGCATTAACCTCCAATGCAATGAATCTCTTCCCAACCTCCCACTGGAAAATTTATAGCCAACTATAAAAGTCTCAATATTTCTTATTCTTGTCAAGGAATGATGAGTGACTTGACTAATATAAACTCGTCAACAGAAAAGCTCCATTAAGGCTGCACAATCTGTGAGCGTTTATTGTGTCCACATTAGAATTTGCAGTGAAAGTTTGAGTCAAGTGTTTATATTAAAATTTTGGTTATATTTATATAGATATTTATGGCATCTTGGGATAATAACAGCAAAAATAAAAAGGTTTTTCTATATCTGCCTTAAAAAAGATTCAAGAGAGGACAGTAAGAGAGCAGGGAAAGGCTCAAGGGAGCACAATAGGCCATTAAGACTACTCGGAAATTATGAAATCTGAAAGAAAAAGTAATTTAGAAGGGCCCAAAGAGTTGTGAAGAAAGTGACAATGTTAACCATCCAAAATGTGGATTTGAATTCTGGGGCAGATTTCCTGAGAAAGATTATCTGTTAGATGGAAAAGCACTTCAAGGAAATAATGGAGTCCTTGGGCCCATGTTAACGTAAACAAGGGCTAGAACAAATCCCTTGACTACCACTGGCAGCTGAGCAAACCATTCACAAAAACAGTAATTAATTCCATTTACTGCCTCCTACCCTTCATGAATTATGGTGTAAAAAACTGGTAGGCACCCTCTATTGTTTTTAAGAAGCGGAAAGTATATACCCAAAATACATATTTTAAAATAATTCTATGAGGAAAAATCTGTTTTGAAGAGGGAGTCTACAAGCTCTATCCTACTTTGTTACCTCCAAGGCATTCTGCTGTCATAGTGAAGAGCTGGACAGGTGTGGATTTGAATTGCTTGTTCTCCTGAGGAAAACACAGGCTTGTGACTGATTAAATAAGACTAGGTTTCCTCAAAATTAGTTGTGGGGTTTTTTCTTTTAAAATGTTTATCATTATTGTAGATGATTAAATGTTTCATATAGCACCCCATGTTCCACAGCAAAAAAAAACAAAATAGAGAAGGACCCAGCTTCAGTATGCAGTGCTGAATTCTAAGGAGAACAGATGGACATGACCAGATTATCTGGGTACAACATGGAAAATCTAAACATGATAAGAAAAAAATGTGAGCCAAGATAAGGCCTCACAAAGCTGGAAAAAAATCTAACATAAGCAGAGAGAAGTATGGGGGAAATTTGAGATGTGTAGAGCGATTAAAATCTGGAACCAAGCCAGGTTTTTTTCATCTTAATGTTTGCCCACAGTACTACTTTTTTTCTCCTTTTCACATAATTCTTTAATTCTTAGATCCTTTAGAAGACACTATATTATCATAAGGGATCAGTAAAATGGTATCTTTCATTCAGAAAATTAGTCTTGCATGTTCCTGATCTTACTCATTATGCATAATTAGAGACAACAAAATACTCAATCCCAAATCTGCTTCACCCCCCTCCAGTGACACCTCTAATACCTGCAAGATTCTTTATCATACACCTAAACGATAGCAGTTGTACATCTTAAACACTCTAATAATTAAACTGGAGTAGGGACATCCTTAAAGGCTGTTGGTACATTCATAGTGTAAGTAAAACAATTCACAGCTAATTCTGATTTGGCTTTTTCCAGAACTGTCAAGTTTTATGAGTGCTTTAACATGTAAACCTGAAAAAAAAGAGGGTTTGGTTACCTTGGGGCATTGAGACAGATACATATTACCTTAAAAAAACATGGAATGTGACGTAATAGATCTCATCACCTTGATTTTCTTCTGAATAAACATTTTTTGACTGGCTAGAAATTAACTGATTCGTTTGAACAACCTTTTTTTTTAAAATGTGTGATGTCAGCTGTGTGCTTACACTCACAGTTACGAGAGGCAAGATTTAAAAGGAACACATATAAAGTGGATCTGTTCAATTTTTTAACCTCTGCTACGAACACACCACCTTGAGACACTGTGGCCCTCAGAACACAGATTGACAGTACCTAATTCTACGTAATAAACACCTCCAGAAAGCCAGGGGATAGCCCTTCTTTCTTGTTATGTACTGACATGGTTATATTCAAAAGCCATAGTGTCTGTGTTTGGACAACAAAATTATACTGACATTACAATACCAAACTACATTTCACTACAACAAATGTTTCCCATTTTGCTTTAACACAACAAATTAGTTTTTTTCACTAACCTGAAACAGGAAAAATGGGGGTGGGTTGGGGGAAGTGGAAAATAATCAAGTAATAAACAAAACAAAACAAATTAGTATATGATGATGACGTCTTCCCAGAAGCGGATGATCTGTAAAAAAAAATGACTGGGCACAAACTGTTTTTGTAGATGCTAAACACTGCAGTGGACCACAAAAAGGGAGGGGAGAGAAGCTGGCATGGAGAGAAGAAATAAAGGCCATCTAGATAAAACAATCTTTTCCTCTTAATAGTTTCAACTTGTTGTGGGTTTTTTCCCTTAATTCATTAAAACTGAGCAGAAGACTTTAGAAACATAACGTCATTATTTAGCAGAAGTATTATTAGAAACATCACTTCACTGGCTTTGTGGCAGTCTCAAATGCCCTCCTTGTAAAAAATTACATAAAAGTTGCACTGTATTTGTTTCATTCTGCCACATGCCAAGTAGACGAAGGAAATTAATGCTGAGACACCCGTACTCTCAGCCACTGCTTTTCCCAGGCTTCTACCCTCTCAGAGGCATGAGCTCAGCACATGACTCCTTCCAGCACTCTTTCAAAGCCACAAGCCACACCTAATGGCCCTGATTCTTCTGCTTAAAAAAGTCACATTTAGTAAGACACTTTCACTCTTAAGGAGGAACACAATTTTCCAGATTTGAATATTATTAAAACCTCAAGCAAAAAATGTGGTGGAATCCCCGATGGGTGCGGGATTTCACTTAAGCTCTTGCAAGAGCCACGTGCAAAGGCGAAAACTCAGTAACAGCCTCACCACATACTGAGGGGATTCTGCAATGACATAAGAGCAGAGTATTCACCATTGGATGATCTCAGTAATTTGTGCCTCCCAGTGGGCCACGGACTCCTTTTTATCAGCCAGGTCTCTCATCTCTTCTTCCAGCTGCCGGTTATTCATACTCAGCCTCTCAAACATGGTGGTAAGCTGAATGAGAATTGAAAGAACTTGTTACAGGTACAAGCTGCTGTAACTCCATCACTGCAGACTCAAAGCCATGTGCTCCCCTCTCCCTCAGCACTCACCTGCTTTAAAAATTGCCACTGTGCATCACAACAAACACTGTGTAACAACAACACCCAGAATCTCTTCTTATGTATCACCGTAGCTGTACTGAAAGGCCATTTTTAAGGAATACTACTACATTTTTACTCTAGCAAATTGATTAGTTTTCTTAAAACGAGTCTCAAATACCTCTACAATTCTTAGAAGATTTCTGCTTTGCAGAATAGATGTGGGATGTTTGATATGAGAAAAAAACCCACGCCTACGTTAAAAAAAGCAAAGTGAGGGCACAGAAATTGTCACAGCTCACATCTGCTGAACCTCTCCCTTGTTCAATAACCATGAAGAAGGAGAGGCTGGGCAGATACAGGTCCAAGTGGGTCCTGAGATTCTCCAGGTGCCTTACATTTCTCTATTTTTCATTTTACTTTCTTGCAGACACGGAAATTGAAATTAAATGTACATCTGTGAGTACAATATGTTATACCTAGCAATTAACCTCTCATGCTCACACAACTGTCATTCATATGTGCACATTCTGCAAGACAAAAGCCACAGCTAAGCTGAGCTGGTGTTGGTAACTAAACCTTCATTATGTTTAATAATTATTCAGAAAGTCAATCTGGCATCAGAGATCAGATAGACTTTATACAAAGCCCTGCTTAGGAGAATGAATCTCATGTGAAAGACTTCTTTTAGTACTGAAATACATTAAAAAATCAAAATGATAAAAAAAAAATTTAAATCAATTCTGCTTTTTACACCTCATTTGAGTACGCCACTCCAAATTCATCATTTCAATCGGCTTATGTTTTAAATATCACTGTTTATTAAATGTCATTTCCCAAGAAAAATACAAAGCTATTCAAATTAGGGAAAAAATAGAGACCAAACAGCAAAACTATCAAAGTGACTAGCCTTTTACTGTTCCTCGGACTAAGCCTACATACAGGCATATACAGTATGTGTCTTATACTGGTATGAAAATATACTTTAATTTGAACACTGACATGCAAACATGCTCACTTTGAAGAACGGAATACTTTCATCATATTTTTAGAAAAATTTAACGCATTACAAAAAGAAGAGACAAGTTTAGCAAGACTTGGCTAATCCACAATTAACTTGAATAACCTGTCAAAATGAACAATACAGAAATAATCTAAATGCATGAAACAATTACTCCTGGCTCAACACACTTTAGTTAACACACCTGATCATTTCTATTTTTTCAGTATTGCAAAGTAACACTTCATCTGCATTGGTAGGAGAAGACCTGTTATTTCACAGTAATTTATGTGCAAATATACTCTAAGTAATCACATCGTTAACTATGTATTTCATATTTGGGCCATACAATGAAATAGTCTTTTTTGTTTCCTTTTTTTTTGCTTGAGATATTTGCCAAAATTAATCTTATCAAACTGTGAGACCACCTAACTGAATTCCTACACATAAATACACATAATGTATATATACGTATATACTCTCAAGTTCAGATGTATGTTGATGCTCTCTACACACATCAAATATTAATCACCACTTTTTGTGTAAGATTAATTTCTGCTACCAGGAGAGAGTTAATAAGAACCAATACAACTTCCTACTATCCAATGTGTACATAGCATACAATAGCTGTGAACTCCAGACTTAACTAACGGGCACTTACCTTATCAAGTTCATTTGAAAGTTTCTTGTTTTCCTCCGTTAGCAGAATCTTTTCCCGTTCATACTTTTGTTTGAACTCTGTTTCAAATTCCTCTCTCTCACTTTGGCTATGAAATAAAATGAAGTAGGATTAGAAAGGTTCCTATTTTAAAACTCATCACACTATTCACTCAAATACACAAAGACCAGCGCAGAGAGCAGCTGAAAGGGAAGTACTATATTGGTAATACCACAGCCTATGAAAACTAAGCAAGTAATACATTACACTACCATCTCTAGGACTCTAAGGCAGTCTGTTGAATTTTAACATCAGACAATGACCTCTCCTTCAGCACGCAATTAATAGCTCCACTGAGCTAACGTTTATCAATCCACTTATCTGTATTTTATTATTTAAACGGATCCTTCAAACACCGAGCAGCTGTAATTCTGCAGACTGAAGTGTGTGTCAATATTCTAAAACACTCAGGGTAATTTCTGAGCTCAAAGAAACTCTAGTTTAACTTAGACAATTCCATCTCGACAGGCAAAAATGACCACATGTGGAATCAAAACAAACAGAAGCTAAATTAGAGCACTTGGGGCTGGGTCTCTCATGAGAAAAGCTTATATAGGCTAGTCTTTGGACAATTTAGAAGAGCCAGAGGACACGCTCCAACTGTTAATTCAGGTACTGTATACTTGCTACCAGCAAAGAGTGGGTAGAAAAACCTGTACACTCCTAACAACATCAGATTCAAGAGCAAGTTTGGCCCACTCGTTCTGAGTTGGTTTCAAAGCAGCTACTTCCCCCAAACCTTCCCTTCTCCTGTGGATGCTATTCAGCAGAGGAGAATTTTGGGTTGATTCTGATTGACACAACTTCGATCATGCACAGTGAGTAAATACGAGAATCCCCAAATAAATGAAGCTGCAGGTCCTCTGTCTGCCAAAGAACCATAATTTCCTTAAAGTGGTGTATGGCAATATTTTAGATGTATAACTCCCACTCGCATCCACTCTTCAGAGACTCACTCCACTTGCATCTTGTATTCAGCGATTCACCCATTAATCCAGTTAACTAGCACAAAGTTTGCCAATTGGCTGATGGAACTATACTATAAATGCCACAGATACCAAAAATACCATTCAGCAAATACGACCGTCCAGCCTTAAAAGGCTTGAAAAAGTGTCCAATATAACAGGTTAACGCTGTAAAAATAAAATGCAGAGGAAACCTTGTTTTGAGCATCACAATTTTTTTTTTGCTGGATACTGATCAGAATTTTACATTCTGCAACAGATGAATGACATCCTTGCTTTGTTTTCCGAGATGCAGAACTACTGCAACTTCCAAATTGAGAGAAAACCTTTAAAATGTGAGAAGTGCCAGTGGTTACAGCAAACCCAGCTAAGAGCAATGCTAGTTTGAATTTCCTATTCCTAATTTGAAATTCATTTAGTGCTTCAACCACCCTTTGAAATCTAGTACAGCATGTTAGACTCCTGGTGAAAATCTGTGTTGCTAGGTATCCTTTGAAACATAACACTACATCCTAGTAAAGTAACATACTATCCTTGCTGTTTAAACGCCAAGTTTGAAATTCACCACCACTTCTTTTCTATATCAACAGATTCCATGCATATGATGAGCAGTCTAGGGAAAAGGCAGGAAGAGATTAAAGCACTGCCTGTCAGGGGAATTAATAACATGTCCTGCTTCTGTTTGCAAGGCGTAGATTCAAAGCTAATTTCACAGACGGTAGACTGAATAAATTTTTAATTCATTTATTTCTCTTACTTAGCTTTTCTGGTTTTACAGTTTTGTTTAGCCTTTTTTATTCATATTTGTCTAAAATTCATTCCCTTAAGGCTCTAAGCAGCCATAAACGGTGGTGGACTAAGGAAGTTCTGGACTGGTAAAAGAGTCCAACTTATTTGTAGTTTTCTGTATTTTACGCTCTTAATTCAACTGGTGGCTGTCACTAAAGCAGTAAATCAGACTTCTATAGTATAAAACAGAAATGAACATAAATCTTAAGCAGAGGAAAATCTGAGTATAATTCACCATACCCAACTCAGCAAACCAGAGAACTGTGACAGACTCCACAGGCATACCTTGGTCAACCAGAAAGATCAAAATAACACATTTGCTTCAAAGCCTGACATCCTCCTCTCCCATTAAGCTTTCTCTCTCATCTAAAATTTAGCTACGTATCCGTTCTTCAAGTTGGAGAAATCATACATGATCCAGCTTTCTTTTAATCAGTAAAGCTGTGGCAAACCACATGCAAGCAATGTGAAACACAGTTTTGTCACTCCAGCTCTTTATTGCGGCTGCACAGAGTGGAGAAACATTTTATCTTTCTGCTTTGAAACCAAGAAAAGTAGACTTGAAACAAACACCAGCCCCCAGGATTCTTAGTATCACACAATTTAAAACAGCAAACACTGGTTTATAAAGCTCTCTGCTTTACAAATCTGTCAGCAACTGATGGGCTTAAACAAACTTCTCCAAGCATGATTTATTTTACACCATTTTTTGCACCTTCTGAAATATTTTATAATGACAATTCTAAGAAATGGAATATCATGCTACACAGATCCCTGGCCTGATACTGTATTCCTGTGATCCCCATATTAATATTGTGCATTTCATAGACTTTAGCAAGGGGTGATCATTTTGTACTGAAAGGTAGTTTCTCTCCCTTGAAGACTTACTAAAATGGCATATGTTAGAAAGTTTAAATCTGAAGGAAACAAAACAACAAATACCTATTTTAAAAATGAAACTGAAACCCTCAACATGTAAGTTACAAAAAGTACACATAGATTTTGACCAAGTTCTTATTGATCTTCTATTAGAATCATGTAAGTAATTCACTGTACACTCTTATAACGGTGACCACATCCTCTTAACAAAACCCTTCTGCACTAAAGATTATTCTTAGACTACTACTTTTTTTTGCCAAACTGTATATGCACGCTTCAACGCCATGCACGCCCCAAGCCTATTGTTGAAGTAATTTCACTTCAGCGTAAAGCCTCCAGGTGCTTCCCTTTCAACACATACACTGACTGCCTGACTCACAAAAATCTTTGCATGCCTGATTACAAAAGCTAAAACCAATATATGTAAGCAGAAACAAACAAACAAAACCAGTCCATGTTCTCTTAAGAAAAACTACCGAATACTGAGAACTGAGCAGCAAAAGCACTTCCTCTGTTCCTAATATTTAACAGCGGGCTTCTGCATTTCTGTGGAGTCCTAATACTCGCATGAGATTCCGCCGATCTGTTTAACAAAACCCAGTTAAATCAGGTCTTCATTCATCACTCATCATGTGCCTGCACATTTGACTATGCATGATGCTGAAGCCCTTCTCAATAATAGCCAAATGTTGGCTACTGGTTAAGTGACACATTTCTGTTCACATTTTAAAATGTTCTCTTACACCAGCACTCGAAATACATCGAGTAACACATGGTTACGTCAGCACTTGCTTTAGATTTGCACCTAGTTCTTTTTTTATGTACAGAAAGAAACTAAATAGAAAGAAGGTTTATGTACTAGCTGGCATGAAGCAGATCAGCATCGTTAGGCTATTTGTTATTTCACTAGATGTGTATGTAGTCAGAAGTTTTGCAGCTGTACAACAGAATGGTTCTGATAAATCGCCACAGAGTTTTTGGTCTGGTCAGTGTTTGGAGGTATGATCTTTAGCAACAGCTTAGCCTGCAGAAAGAGGTATTAAATAATTTTTTATTCAATAGTCCTCTGAGACACTACTGGACTGACATGGCATGAGGAGTATCATACTACCACCTTTACATGTTACAGGCATGGTGCTGCTTGCATTTGTAACTCATAGCTCAGCAAGCCCATTAAGTCTGGTACAATGAAAACGCGCTGCTCATGCAAGTTTAACCTCTCAGCCTACAACAAAGCAGCAAACTACTGTTAGTATGTCCAGCCTACAAACAGCTGTATGCAAGGAAGAAGAAACAGTTCATCCACCACGTTCTAGGCTGTATGATCGACTTCCACGGTTGGAAACAATTTCCCAGAGAAGCCATGCTTCCACCTCTACTTGTACAAGCTTTTTTTAAAAACTACTTTACTGTATTTACTACTTATATTTATGGACTCTCTATAGTTTGGCTAAGCTTTCAGCAGGTTTTTCTAATATGTTATCACGCTAGAGCAGTGAAAAGAAGCATCTATGTTAGTGTGTATAAACCACTCTGCATTTTTCATGAATGAAAATGAACACCTACACTATCCAACAGAAAAACCTGTTTTTATTGATGAATGCCCCAAGGAGCATTCTCAAGGCCAGTGATAAGCTTCACCACGTGGGAGAGAAAAAAAGCAGGTCTCTGACAAATTATCATGTCAGAAGAGATAAAGCAGCTTAGGCCCACAGTAGTCTGATGACTGATGCTAACAATGGATGGAACCCAGCATGGATTAGCCTTAGTCCGCATTAAGTGACTGTTCTTGTGCTGGCAGAAATGCAAGCAACAGTTGATCTCTAACACATTAGCTTTGCATCAAAAGATGAAAATACCAAACAGAAAAAAAAAGTCAAAAACGCTGTTTTCAACATCAACGTAAGCTTCACGGGTTGATTTACTCACAACTCAAGTTACATACCTCGGAATGGTCAGCCAGTGCAGGAATTCTGATGCAAAATTAACCATTTCAGTGCAGGGACATGGATTTTTTTATTTATTCTGTTTTAATTTTAAAGGCAACTGTTCTCAACTGTTTTCAGCCAAAATGCACTTGTCTGCACTATAATTAAGGAAGTGGTAGTGTGGAAACAAATTAAGAGACTCCAAAAGGTATTTTGAGCTTAAAGGTACATTTCACACGATACTTACTTTTCTCTTCTGGTTTTCTCCAACTTGTCTTTCAAAATCATGATCTCCTTCTTGAGGGCAAGCTGCTGGCTCTCTGCATCCCGCAGTTCTTTCTTCAGACTTTTTATTTCATTAGCATGCATTATTTCACGTTTAGATAGTTCCTCTTCATAGAAAACACTTTTCTTTTCCAGATCTGCCTTTAACTTAGTGATCTCTTGCTGGTGTTCTATACTGCTTACCCCAGGTGAGCGACCAACCTGTTTTTGCTAAAATAAACAGCGCCAAGTTAGTACTCAAGATTGCTTCAAATGATGCTTAGTAACAACTAAAAATGCGTAATTCTATGTTTAGAAAATATCCCACTACAGATTTCAGTTAAAGACATCTCTTTTTTTAAAAAATTTTTAAATCATGATCTGTACTCTTTACCATTTTGTGATTTAAATACAGTTTATCAAGCCATCATCAGCTTAAACATCTCTGGCCACATTCTGACTCTTCTTATATACAGTCAGGAAGTGGCCACAGAACTGTAAGATTTTTATGCTTCCACTCACACAGTTTACAGTAACAGTTTCAACAGACTTTCAGGAATAGAGAATAAGGACTACGATATACAGTCGATCTATTTTAAAACACAAATTGTTTGTGGAAAAGCTATACTAAGACAAGCAGTGGCTTAACTGAAGGCTAACCTCTAGCTACAGAAACACTACATGGATTGTATCAGTCAGGAGGGAAACTCGACCTATTTTACTTAAATTGACCATTTACATCATAGTGGATTAATAAGAAAAACAAGCTTTAAACAATAAGAGTAATTACTTCACTTTTCGAAGCTGCATAGCTCTTTTAGTGAGGTCTTCTGGCATTTCAATAGTCTTTACACATTGCTTCAGGATACATACACATTTGCACCAAATGCTGCACTCACTAAACTCAATGTCCTGCCGTAACATAGAGGAGGAGGAAGATCAGGTTCAAAATGAGATAGTGGCATGGCATGCATTGAAATCCAAGTATGGAAATACCTTTCAATGTAAACATATGTATAAGCTGGCTTGGAATTTTTTCTACTTTAAAAATCATGTAACTAAAGGAAGTCTAAGGAAAGGAAATCACTTAATGAGAACCCTGCATTTTGAGAAAGTGCAGGTAATGGGCAAGCCTACTTCTTTGCTGGAGGGAGACTGTTTCACAGCTTTAGGAGGATTGAAGATATTTTGCTAATTATATGTCCATTTTTATCATGAGATATTATAATCCTCTCACATCACCCTTAATTAAACATGGCTTTGGGTAATTTTCTTTTGCTGATCCATCACTAGACTTTAAGAGCTAAATGTCATTGTAGAACATTCAGACGAGCTGAATTTCTACCACAACGAATTCTATGAGAAAGCTGGGCCTTGATGCTTGTGTCAGCAGAACACCACAAACCCCCCCAAATATGAGTCAGATACATGCTGCTACCACATTGTTTTTTCTCTAAGTCATCAAAACGATCAGGCGTTTTGATCCCGCCCTTAGGATACAGAATGGTAAACTGGAGAAAGAAGATGCCATCCTAACAGAAGATGGTTTGGAGAAAGAAAGATTTAATAAAAAAAAGGAAGGAAATAATGGAATTTTCCTTCATGCACAGGCAGTTAACTACTGAATCTATTTGTTACTGCCCAAGACGACAAAGTGCCTACTTGTCTATGGCATCGCAGCAGATAAAAATCTAGGCTTTGCAACATCATCTATCAGGTACTTAAAATGTTTCAGTGTTATTTCACACTTTTTTCCACAACAAAAAGATACTACTAAGAGCATAAGACAGATGGTGCAGCAGAAAAGAAAGCTAGATGGTACTGTGCAATGGCTTACAGAACTAGAGTAATACAGCAAATGGAGAATATAATCTCAACTGATGTAAGAACAAATTCCAAATAGGTATTTTCATATGTGCCTGTTTCAATTGGACAAATGGTGCTACTGAGACATAATGCATCTCCTGGCACACAGAGAGCTGGATGCTGTTTAATGCAGCCCAGGCTGCGGTTCGCCCTCTTGGCTGCCAGGGCTTACTGCTGACTCATACTGAGCTTGATTTGTTTGAAACTCCAAATACAGGACAGCCACTGGATCTCCTTTGTCCACACACTTACTGACAACCTGGCAGAACCCCAGCAGGTGAGCACCACAGGATTTGGTGGGATAAAAGGTATGCTGCCTTCTTGCCAGGAGCCTCTGCTTCATCCATGAGCTCACTGACCTTATTCTTTACTACAGCCTCTATGTTCTTCCTAAGGAATTCGCACCCACTCCTCTGCAGTTCCCAGGGTATCTTCTGGATGAGAGATACAGTGGCACAACGTGCCCAGGGTGCACATCTTGGCCAGCAGTCCTCTTGCTTCTCACCCAAGTTCCTTCAGAAGCAAATCGCCGAGGCCACCACGCTAGGTGACGTCACATCTGACTCACCTGCCAGCTCTCACGCTTCCTGCACATCCTCAGGCTGATCCAGCTCACCTGAGCAACCTGCTGCAAGGAACGCACTCTGTGTGGGGATCTCTCCTGCTTCAGCAGTGAAGTCTGACACACCGAAAATTCTTCCCCAGCCCTAGCAACTCAGAGATTACCTTTTTCACCCCTGTCAACACACAGCCCTGCAAGTTTTCTAAGGTGGTTTTCTGATTTAAATACTTGTACGATCATTCTGAGCACCCTTTACAAAGCGCTCTCTGAATTTATTTAGCCCTCGACATCCTGTTTATACTTAATCTGCCATTATTTATAGGTTTTTCTATTCTATTCATTGGGAGATACCTTCCTCTTTTCTTTAAATATTGACCTTTCTCTATAATAGCCTCCTGAACTTAACTAAGGAGCCATACAGAGCTTTTACTGAATGGATAATGCAGTATCACAACAACTTCTCCTGACTCAAAGTGTGCTTATTGTGCTGCGAAATATTGCTAAGCCTCTTCTGATAAATATGCCCCACTGTTACAAATCAGCATTTCATTTATTCTCAACAGATCTCCAGTAAATTCTTCTCGCCTCTTAAATTGTCACAGAAACTCTTTGCTGCTGCTGAAGACTCATGAAAGGAGAAGAAATAGAAACTGATTTTCTGACAACAATCTGAATGCACAGCAGTAGAAACTTTATAAATCCAAACTTTATACTGAATGGATTTCCTTACTTTTAGACGATGGAAGGCAAAATAAAAGATTGTTTGCAATAAATCCACAAATTTTCTGTGCAGTGACTTAACCTTCACAAATGTTCCAGAGCATTCTAAAAAAAAAAATATCACACCAAAATCCGAAACTATTATTCATGTATATTAAGACTAGAATAGGCCTAATGTGACATTTTCCACAAAATGTTTAGAATTATCCCACTGGATGAAACATTGGAAACAGAGTTTTGTTGTAAATGACCAGCAATCCTCATATGGAAATGAAAAACTTTCTCATTCAATTCTTGAGAAAGTCTTATTTCTTCAGAGCACTGTAAAACCCTAAATCACGGAATAAAAGAACAGCTAACATTCTGGGTTTACATAAATTTCTGCTCCTAAAACCACATACATGTGTGAGTAATCTCATCAATATAAACAAAGTCTTTATGGTCAATGCTGTTCTTGTGCAAAAATGTCTCGAAGTCTGGCTGAGAAGCAGAAAATTCTAAAACTTTTCCTCTACAATTACATCAGTTGACATCTATTGTGGAAGAAACCATCTTTCAACTGACACAGTTTGGAACAACACAGTACTCAAAATACCTATACAGAAACCTCCATAGGCTGCAGGTTTATCTTCAAATATGGAACCACCCTACACCAGAAAATCACAAAACACTTCTAACACATAAAGTTAAACAAAGTAATAAGGGAAGAAATTTGGTAAGAAATGATCAAGAAATACTACAGAGAGTAGTGAATACACTGGCCTGAAAAGTGCATTAGGGAAATACTAATTGTTCTGGACAACAACATGATAAAAGCTTGCATTAATATTCAGCATCAATCAAAGTGACAAATTGACAATACCTTATCGTCCTCCATTTCAAATCAAACAAACAGATCCAAGTCCTAGTTGACGACTAAGTTTTCAGGTGTCAATATCAAAAGAGACTAACCTTTAGCCCTTCTACTTCGCTTTCCAACTGTTTAGAGTACTGTTCGCTCCTCTCTCGCAGTTTCCTGTCTTTGGATGCCTCAGCAGCTGCGGCTTCAGCTTGGACTTCCAGCTACAAAAGTATACACGTCTTTAATAGGTAGGATTATTCTTTTTTTTTTCTCCCCACAAAAAATCTACTGATGACTTTCATTACAAGAGATAAATCTTCAGCACTAAATTGAACACTTCAAATTCTTAGAAAACAAAATTGGTACTGTTTGAAACAACAATCAAATAGTCAAAGATTTACGGAAAATACAGAAATTACTTTGTCAGAAATCCTTACATATAACCACTAATTCATATATTCTAAAGAGTCTTCTCACCACTTACTTCTTTTTTAAGTCTCTCTGTTCTGCGTAACTCTTGCCTTAAACTTTCTACTTTTTGCATCACCACTTCCATTTCTTCCTCCTTATCTCGGAGCTGGCGGGCAAGCTTTTGTTTTTGAGAGTGCAAGTCTGTCAGCCGCTCGTTCATCTCTGAGAACTCCTGCATTGCCAATTTCCGCTGGCTGTGTGCATCTTTCAGCTCTTTGGCTTGGGATTTTAATCTGTCACTAGACTCTGCCAGTTCCTACAGTTTAAAAAAAGAATTAAGTAATAAACCTAGAAAGCTGCAAGGCCAATTCTGTCTTTGGATGCACATCTAACACCTTCTCCAGAGTGAACAGAAACTACATCGTCATTTCTTTTCATGAATGCATCTACCATACAGACTGTATGACTCTCTAAATAAGGGAAGAGGCCAGGTTTTACACTCTATTAAAGTAGGTAAAACTTCATAAACGTAAACCAAGTAGGGATATACTCCATTATTATAAGTTAAACATAAAGGCTTTCAAGCACTTGAAGTAAAATATAAAAATACCGTGCTTTCTTTATTAAAAAATGTCATTAGCATAGCTTTTTCCAGAACTACTTAAATGCATAAGAAGAACAGTGCTTATCTCAACTGCTAAATGATTTTAAAAAGTTCTTGCGTTAACTGAATGGAAAACTATGCTGTAGGAAAATTCCTGCTTCAGAAGCTTTTGAAAACTGACCTGCGATGATGACTATGATTTCCACACACTGTACCACAACACCAAATACCACAAAAAGTTTCAGGCATTAAAACACTGCAGCGATTAACAGCAATATATGATAAAAGAACACACATGACCATATAACACTGCCAGTGCTGTGATAACTCTACAGCACGACACCTTCACAAAGCTTGCTGTGTCCTACAGCTGTGCTACTGTACTACAAATGTGGGACCACAGCAGTTTAAATGGTTTAAGGACAGCACAGCCAAACCAAAGCAGAGCAAAGACGCACGGAACAGTGAGCCTGAGGCTGTAAAGAGGAGTGGAAGGAAGAATTAGCATTGGGCACTGTTGACATCTACACAAATTTAAAAGTGTTTCCTACAGTTGTTAAAAAAAGGTGATCACTACAAGTTGGTTTAGAAGAAGGATATCTTTCTTGTACAAATTAGCAGCTTTTGGGGTTTTAAGAGCCTTAAGAGTTAAAAGAAACTGTTAAACAGAGCTGGCGCATCAACACCAAGTGTGGACTCTAAAATACTGGGCCAATATAACCACGATGAGAAACAAGCTAATGTATTTCACACTTGATTACAGGTTGATTTAACCACAAATACAAAAAAAGAGCCATGAAAGACAGTATGTTATACACAACAAGGAATCAGGGAGACAGAGAAGAAATAACCAGCCGTATTCTTCAACTGTAGTTATTGCAAATTACTTTTCAGTCTTCACATTTGGGAAATTTTTCACATCTCTCTTCTGGAAACACTTCTGTGATACATCCTTGATACCATATTCTTAACATTTTTTCCCTGCTACAGCTTCACCCATACCTCAGATTAAATTAGTTGTCTGGAATAGTTCTTCTCTACTCTGTCTTCTAACCACTACCATTATCACCTTAATCTGAAGCTATAAAACCTTCTTTGCAGCCACCACGCAATTTGGATCACGGAGCTGGTCGCTATCTGGAAATAGTAACTTAGGACCACCTAGCAGTTGTATATACAGTGCGTTAAATGATGTCCTTGTCTTCAAAAAAGGAGACAAAAAGCAAACTAGGTCACTCCGCACATTTGTTGTCTGCTCATTAATTTTACACTTGAAAGTTATTTCAAGCAAAATGAACAAAATAAAATAGTCTTTAGGGTTTAGAAGACTTGCTGACAAAACGCTTTTACCTTGTTAAGGTCTTCCCTCTCTTGCTTCAGTGTTCTGACCTGTTTCTCAAAAGCCTTGATTTGTCTGGAAGCATCATCCAACTCCCGCCTTGCAGTGCTGGCCTCCTCCAGTTGCTGCTCCAGCTGACCAGAATCTAGAAAGAGCATCAGACTTCTAAATATGTTAAGGAAAAAAAAACATTGTCCTAGAATAGCGTGGTCTAACTGCTTGGAACCCTTTCAGTATTTGTTCTGTTTCTGTTTAATCACAAAACAATGCAATTCTTATCTGGTTTTTGAATAGGGAGTAGGTTATTTCAACTGCCATTATGTACTTTTAACAGAACCGAATAAAAGGTCACAGCTTGCTGCAAAACAACACAGAAAAGGGTAACAATTTGTCTTTCCACATTAAAATAATCATGCACTATACATAATTCTGCAACGTATGCTTTAACGTGACCTATACATTTGACTTTTACACACTGTAATGTAATATATAATGCAACTTTTATTACACTGTAATTACAAACAGTCTCCCTCCTCCCCCTCAGATGCCCCCTGAAAGAAACAGTAAAAGTAAGAGGTCACTTAAGAGCTGGCAAGCAGTCTCCCTTTGACACACTTAAAACGAACTTCAGATTATTTTACTTTTTTCTAGTGGGAAGACCACTTGTGTTCATGTGATCTGCTTTATTGCTACTATAAATACAGGAAAACTATTACAGTTGTTCTCTTATCAATTGTCAGGTACACGACGACAGCAGACTTCTATGCCACAGCTAAAAAACATCATCCAGAATCACAGAATGTCTTAGGTTGGAAGGGATCTCAGAGATCATTTATTCCAACCTCCCTGCCATGGGGAGAGATAGATACCCTTAACTAGACCAGGCTGCTCAAAGTCTCATCCAGCCTGGCCTTGAACATCTCCAGGGAGGGGACACCCACAGTCTCTCTGGGAAATCTATTCCAGAGTCTTGCCATCCTCGTAGTGAAGAATTTCTTCTAAGATCCAATCTAAACTTGTTCTCCTTCAATTTAAATCCATTTCCCCTTGTCCTGTCGCTGGACACGCTTGTAAAAAGTCCCTCCCCAGCCTTCCTGTAGGTTCCCTTCAGGTACTGGAAGGCAGCTCTAAGGCCTCCCTGAATCTTCTCTTCTCCAGGCTGAACAATCCCAGCTCCCTCAGTCGATCAATACGCTCAAATGCTACATCATGAAAAGTTTAGATCCTGACACCTGAAAATTTCTAGCTAGTGGGTGGAGATTTTTTTCCCTCCTAGTCCTTCACTTAAAAACAAAAAATTTAAACAAGATGTATATGAAGGTAGGTGAACTTCAAGTTCTGTGAAATCCTTGGACATTTTGCCTTTGATTTCAGTCACGATAAGTCTTCAGACCATATGTATTTACCCACAGAACAGGACCCCATCTATACTCTTAATAAGACCCTTTCACTACATTTTCATAAATGCAACTCTAAAAGACTGTCTCTTGGAGAAATAAAATAGAAAACCACATATATTTCTAAAAGTTGTAATGTCTGAAACACAAAAATCTTATAAGAAAATTAATACTATCAGCTTATACCCAGCCAAATATCCATTATGTTTTAATTCATTGACTCTCATTTAAAAAATTCAAAAGAAAGCATTTAAACAAGAGATGTAGCTCAAACCCAGAAATTACTAACTGCTTCATGTAGTCTACTCTGAAGCCACCAGTAAAAAAGAAAGTTTATATACGGCTCTGCCGAGCCAAGATAAATCTCTCTTCCGTGCATGAACTACTTTGTTCCACAGCTCTGTTTTCTTCTTCCATCGCTGTCCTTTACATATTTGGCAATATTAAAGATTCCTCAAAGTTTTCTCCTATGTAACAAAAATTATAACTTTGACCTCAGAAATTGAAAGCATATGCTAGTTTCTCATTTCCTGGAAAACCAGATAGGCAAGAAAAATGTATTTTTCCAAGGTCCCCCAGGTGACGCTCCTGAATTTGATGCAATTTCATGTTCATTTTTTATTAACTTTTTAAGCAGGTGTTTACTCTTACAACTCCAGAAGAGGTAGTAAAACAGATTAAAGAATACAACCAAAAGCTAGTTGTGATGTATGTGTGGTAAATGGTAACTTTTCATTTCATCACCCCAGTTGTTGCAAACATTTTAGCTAACATATGCCAACACTCACTGTAGGAAGTTACTTTGCAGTACATGCCCAAGAGATGAGCTCAAAGCATAAAGGTCCACTCTGCACCTGAAGCTAACCTTCTTAAAGTTCATCAGATCTAGATTTGGAAATTTAGATATTTTAAAGGCCCAGACAACTTGGAACTAGCTCCTATAAATTTGGAAGCATTCCGACACGATCAGGTTTGTGCCTGTATTCTGTCACGAACTCTGTTTTAAAACCTATCTCACAAAAAACCCCACTCAAAACATAAAAATCAAGCAAAATAAAACATTCTCTTTTCCCAATGTTATCATATTAGCTTGTATTAGTTACAACTCAAAGCACAGATGAGTGCCTTCTAACTAATGGCTTCGCTGTCTGGACCAGAGAAGTCATTCAAGTATATATTGAGAAAAATAATGTGGTGACTGAGAATGGATTAGGCAACTCTACATCCTCCTCATTTGATCACGCTATCCATTTCCAACCTAAAAAACAAAAGCACATATTGCATCTAGAAATAAATATGCAAATATATATGTAGCATGAAGCAGATTCTTAAGGGAAAATCTTCTCAATATTAACGGCCTTCATATGACATTGACTTCTTTTAAACGTGAAAAGGGGTGTCAGCTGTGTTGGGGAATGTTCCCCCACCATTTTAAATTTCTTTTCGTTACCAAAGGGACAGAATAATACCATCAACAATCAACTAAAAACTGAGTTGCAGCTCAACAGTTGAGAATAAAATACAATTTAAAGCTGATCCTGATGCTTTTCTATGAAGGGCTGATCCCATTTCGAAAGCTGTTCTCGTAGATGTTGCTTTTCAGTGTGGAGGGACATTTGGCTGGAGAGAAACTTCACAAAAACTTTTGTCTTGACATAGTGCCAACATGGCATCGCTCAAATCAGTGATCCTCCCTGAGCTAGTTAAGCCATGCTCACATCCAGAAATAATGCTTATGGTACGAATCAAAACTGCTGCATCATGCCAGAGCAGCCATCCAACTGTATATCTATAACAGACCTTTCAGAATACACAATTTTAACAGCATCTATGCGCTGCAGCCTGCCCTTCATTCACAGCGTGCTGCTCTCTCACCACACAGCAGCAGAGTGCAAACATACCAACTAAAATGCCTGGAAGTTAAGTTCCAGTTACCCTTTCCATGGGTGTCGCTGCTGGCATGCCTGACACTTTCAGGAACAGAACGAAGCCTTTTCACAAATACAAACAAGAACCAATCTTTTTTGTAGTCTCCTCCAACCTTTCCCACTGTTTTTTGCTGGTTCCCCGCCTCCCTCCCTTGCCACAGGCAAGACACGGACATCATATAATAGAGATCTACCTGCCACTACTTGCACTTGATTTTTCTCTCACATAAAATGAAGAAAATATTCTTCTGTTTGGATTGACAAGAGGAAACAGATTTGTCCTCCCTGTTTCTACAGTTCTAGTCCTATAGTCTCTATAAGTCTTCCTTATTTTCCTAAACAAAAAACACCTTGCAAAACTTCCTTTCTCTCTCTTTGAAGCTGACTGCTTTCAAGATCCTATTTTGAAGAAACCATTACGGAGCTGGATAGCAGAAGTCCTATGCTGTGAATCACTACGAGAAAATTTTCTTTAACATAATTCTGAGCATCAGATCAAGAATACTGAATATTAGTATTAGTAGCTAGCCTTTAAAAAGTAGACTAAAAAGGTATTAGCTAAACCGACAGAAATTTGGTTCACTAACAGCTATCAACATGGTGGTGCAACAGAAGTTCTCCCTCTGGAAGTTCTTAAAACATGAATTGCCAGAATCTGGGAGAGTAAGGCTGGAAAAATGTCAGATTTAGATATATTGGATTTCTTAGCATCTTTCCCCAAATGCCTCAAGTAGCCTCTGTAAAGACACAGGATACTGGGTATCTTTGCTTTTGACTAGCTTGGGAGTTCTAAAGAAAGGCAGTATGACATGAAGAAATTCAGCTCTTTATCTGCAGTTTTCAAACTCTGAGTACAGAGATATGTGATAGCCAAATCATTAGTTACCATAAAATCTTCAAGAATTCTCAGAAGCAAAGGAATTAAATGGAAAGGAAATAAACGTTCAGTTTTATAAGAAATGATAGCTCACTGACAGAAGGGCTGAGAGGTGGATTTCCCCCCTCCATCTCCCTTTCCTCGTATGCTTCCATTGCCCACGTTGCACTGAATTATCAGATCAAAAGTTGATTAAAGTATCTGTATCTAGATTGCTCTTTCTATGTTTAATTGATTGAATTCAAGTCAAGACACAGACCAGGACCCATACAGACAGAGCAAGGGCCACAGAGCTGTGAGCTGCACCTATTTTGGTGGCACAGTTTTGTTTGGTCTGTTCTGCTGCTTGTGGAACTGCAGCCTCATAGCCCATAGTGTGTCCTCTCATGGAAAACATCCCTCACTACTCCCTGCCACTAGAAAATTCAGTATCACTTTAGTTTCCTCAGTATCACTGTAGCTTCATGTACACAGCTCACCTCCCAGACGACCCACACTTCTTGTAAAAGTCCCACTCCAAGTAAATACTCATAAAACCACATCTCTGCTTTGAACCAGCTTTTATTCCACACCTAGTTATAATGCACTAAGCAACAGCACGCTATAAACCTCTGTGGTTACAAAGAAAATATAATCACAAATTTGGGCCTTCCAAGGAAAAGTCAACAGAGAATGAGAAAATGAGAAATATCAATTGATGTTTAAATGATAACAAATCATCCTTCCATCAAATATTTTTAAGGCCATTAAAACTGCTAGACTGAAGTCTTCACTCCTCATGTTTTCTCACATAACCAAGAAACACCTCTCTCTCTCTTTCTCATTTACCACCTAATCACCTGCAGAGGAGAGTGTAGAGACGTACAAAGCAAGGAATGTAAGACATGCTACGATCACTGTGACTTCTGAAAAGGTTGTAGAGGCTTTTGACACTGTCCAGAATAGCCAAGAAAGTGCTCTGTCCACTACTGCAGTACACACTGCAGGAGGAAGTGGGCAAAAAAATACCAGAAATGCAGTACTAAGAAAACTGGCCAGAGTTTCACAGATTCTCAGGTAGAGCCTGATTGACATCCATATATATATTAGCAACATCACAATTAAAAACTAGTGGAACTTCACCACTAATAATATTAGCCAAAGTCATTGACATCTTCCTTCTCCCTTGCAGCTGGAATTACTGAAGTATTAAGATAAATTTGCAGAAAATGTTGAACTACCAGTGAAGAGCCAAGGGTAAAATGAGAAGTACAAATCGATTGGAGACTCTTCAGAAAGCAAAGCAAAACTAGCATCACATTAGAGGAAAAAAACAACTTGTCAAAATATTGTTTCTTGTTACAGTTGTAATTAATATTTATAACACACCTGTTATCTGTTTCTTCAACTTTTCAATTTCTTCTTTCAAACTTTTAATTTCTAAATCTTTGCTTGCTGTTATTGGGCCATCCACTGTCGAATACTGCAGAGCCTGGACTGTCTGGGTGGACTCTAGAAAAAGGTGGAAGAGAAAGACACAAATGATGCACCTGACATCCAAGGAGGTGGAAAAGGTATTACTGATAAATTAAGACATGCCAAAAGACTGAGGGTTCTACAGTTTAAAATTTGCAACTACCAAGTGCCAGTTTTTCAGTAACTGTCAGCTGGACAAAGTACATTCCTAGAAGTTTCAAGAACTAAATCTTCATGCCATAGTAATCAAGGCATAATGTGAAGAACTTAGCATGTTACCAGAAGCTGCATATATGGGAAATTTCAGGCATTAAGAGTAACAGAAGTTTAATTGTCAATTGAAATAGTGAACTCTTTTCTGCTAGAAAGCATACGAGGATGTATATTTATTTTTTTCTACGACATAAACCATACCTTACAAATCTGCAAGCTAATCAAAGTCACAAAAGCGATGTGTTTTTTTTAACGACTGTTTACCTTGCAGTTTTCTACTAAGTTCAAGCTTTTCCTGTTCTAGACGCCTTATTCTCCGCTCATAAGCTTCTGTTGCTAAGCTATCCTCCAAAGTTCTTTGAATGCTGGCATCAAGATCCATGGAGGGTGGTCCAGCTGTCAGTCTTAGACAGCTGCGGTCTGAAAGCACACTAGGGAAAAAAATTTAAACAGTATTAGATTTTAAAACAGGCTGTGTTTAAAATAATTTTAAAAATACATATGAACTAGGAGATAGTTGTTTAAGTTGTTAATTAGTATGTAGTCTATTATACAGTGAAACAATACTTTATTAGTATGTGCTCATTCAAAATCAGATCCATTTTTACCCAGTATGACTGATGTCCTCAAGGGGAAATGGATTTAAATTGAGGGGAAATGGATTTAAATTGCACCAGGGGAGGTTCAGGTTGGATATTAGGAAGAATTTCTTTACTGAGAGGGTTGTCAGCCATTGGAACAGGCTGCCCAGGGAGGTGGTTGAGTCACCATCCCTGGAGGTGTTTAAGAGACGGGTGGCTGTTGCACTGGGGGATGTAGTTTAGTAGGTTGACAGGGCTGGGACAAAGTCTAGACTCGATGATCTCTAGGTCTTTTCCAACTGAAACAATTCTATGATTCTATGGTTCTAATGCATTTTTTGTTACATAAAAGTGAATGAACTCAGGATTAAAAATTACCATTACAGACAGTCTACGTTAGCCAGCTAGTAAAATGCAACAACGTAGACAGTTAGCAAAATTACAGTAAAAGTTTATTTTAAAGTAATTAAGTAAGTTTCCCAAATACTTTAAAGACATGAATCACAACAAATAGTGTGAAATTATCAGGTGATAACTTGGGCATGCACATAACAGAAATGCAGTGGCCCTGATTGTGTGGTGTCATGTGCACCTATCACCACTTATGCAAATAATCCTTCTGAAGTCTGCAGGACATCGCACAGAATCAGCACTAAGCACACGTGTTTGCACAAACACAGGCCTGGTTTTTCAATGGTTGCAAACATTCTTTCTTTATTTCTTTATATATCTTCATAAATTATTAAGGAGTATAAATGGACTTCTTTGCTAATATTTAATTTAGCAGTAGAAATGAACATGACAAATACTGCACTAATACCAAATATTAATAAAATTATTTTTTAAAAAAGTTTCTATTCAAACTTTTACAAGAGTGTCAGAGGAGAAGAGAAAAAAAGATTTTAATGGCTAATAAGCTAAGCTCTCTGGGTCCATACAACTTTGTCATATGCAATTAACTTCACACATTGTCTGAAAAACACTTTTCCCAACAAAACTCCTCTGAACACAGGTGCTGACCTTTAAATTCATGTAGATTTTACCTGGAGACAGCTTGTTCTTTTGGACATACACCATTTCAGATTATCATCTAGTAATTTCCTCAATAAACCACATTATTTGGTGTCTGTCTGCACTTGGTTTCAGAAACAGAAACTTAGATATTATGTAACTATGCCACAGACAAGTTTGGAATTCTTAACTTACCAGCTACTTGTGTACGTGAAACCCACAAATGGTAAATGATGGCCAGAAAATGCAGTGTGTGATGGTGGAGGCATTGTTTCCTAGAAAAATAATAGGACAGTTTAGTAAGTAATACCCTACTGGACTTTAAAGAAACAGATTTTCCAGCTCAACCATACATGAAGCCTTAGTGATGACGGCTTTCAGTTACCACACCGGTATTCTGAAATATTCTGTAACAGAATTTGTTTCTTTGCTGACTCTTTGGCAGAGATGAACATGTGTAGTCCCTGTTACTCGTTTGAATTCAACTGTATTATCATACTGAAAAAATTATAACTGAATCTAGGTCTATCATCCCTATCAGTAAAGCCACTAAACTAAATGGTTAAAATCCAAAAAGCTGCAGAACTTAGGCTGCCTCACAACACTGGTTTGCTCCCTATGTTTATGTGCACCTTTAACTACAAATTTCGTTATTACGTATATAATTTTTCCCATGGTCCCATTTCAAGCTCAGGAAAGGAATAAACATATGCACCACTACAGGTTAGGAGGAGATCTGTTAGAGAGCAGCTCCGTGGAGAAGGATCTCGGAGTCCTGGGGGACAGTAAGTTGTTCATGGGACAGCAATGTGCCCTCGTGGCCGAGAGGGCCAATGGTATCCTGGGGTGCATTAAGAAGAGTGTGTCCAGCAGATCAAGGGAGGTTCTCCTCCTCCTCTGCTCTGCCCTAGTGAGACCTCACCTAGAGTGCTGCATCCAGTTCTGGGCTCCCCAGCTCAAGAGGGGCAGGGATTTACTTCAGAGAGTCCAATGGAGGGCTACAAGGATGATTAAGAGACTGGAACCCCTGCCTTATGAGGAAAGGCTGAGAGATTTGGGGCTTTTTAGTCAGAAGAGGAAAAGACTGAGAGGGGATCTAATTAATGTGTATAAATATATGAGGGCTGAGCATCAAGAAGGAAGGGACAATCTCTTTTCACCTGTGCCTATGATAGGACAAGGGGCAATGGATTCAAGCTAGAGCACAGGAAGTTCCACTTCAACACGAGGAAGAACTTCTTAGTGTGAAGGTGACAGAGCCCTGGCACAGGCTGCCCAGGGAGGTTGTGGAGTCTCCTTCTCTGGAGCCTTTCAAGATCCGCCTGGACGTGTTCCTGTGTGACCTGCCCGAGATTCTGTGGTCCTGCCCTGGCAGGGGGGTTGGACTCAATCTCCAGAAGTCCCTTCCAACACCTAAGAGTCTGTGATTCTGTGATTCAGGCAGGAGAATAACAATCATGGCTTTTCAATATTGCCTTTCATCTTCAGCACTGGACATTCCTCATTTGCTGTATGCCATTCAAATCTTGCAAAGAATTTAAAAAGAAAAAAAAGGTCTCACAGGCTGATCTGCAGTGCTGACTTCTGCAATAATAATGCAAGTATGTGAACTCTCCTCACAAGATGCATTATGAAAGACAGCAGGGAAAACATCTCCAAGCTACATGAAAGAATTTGAGAGGAAGCAATATTAAACATAATGTCCACTAGTTGAAGCAAAAATATAAAATACCTGTACTCATGCAATGCTTTGAGATAGGTTTTGCTCAGAGAGGCTAGGTGTGAAAAGAAGTAGTAAAAATATAACCTTAGATTAAACGAAAGAAAAAATACCTTCATATGTTTCAAATGAATAAAAATACTTTTTAGCTGTGAAGGGAGATGGGCAATACCAGGTGCAAGTGAGGAAAAACTGAGGGAAAAAATTAAAAATTGAAAGTTGTCCTGTGCAGCTAGACTGATTTGCTTAATTTGCCTATATGAAAGGACTCTGAGACCTAATGTTCCACACCACACACACCTACCACTGGATTTAATCTAGTGAAAGTGTTCTCCATGTTTTGCTGTGTAGATTAAGAGAAGAAAACGCAAATAACGATTGACCTGCCTGTAATAATTCATGTTGCCTATAGCTTATCTGCAGGTCCAGGAAGCCCAGCATAACTGAGGTGCACAGGCAGTTCAGGAAACAAAAGCAAAAATGGTGAAAAAGCCTCACCCATGTAAACAGCAGGTTTCTGCATCTTCAAGCAACACAAATACACACACACACACAAAAAGAATTTCCAAGGAGAAAACACAAGGCACTCCTCTGATGCCAAAACCTCTATCATCTGTCAAAGTCCCTGCTCAAAAGCATAGAAACACTAAGGTTAAAAATCAATAGTTGCAAAGCTTTTTAAGCAAAGGCAAAATCCTTTCTTTCTCAAGAAAATTGTTCCTAAAGAAATAGCTGCAATGTATCTCTTAAATTTCCCAAAACTCAATTCAAGTCAGAAAAAAAGCTGGAAAAAATTCAGTGGGAATGAGCTGAATGGAATCTGACACAGATACGAGCAATTAGAGTAGAGCACTACAACAAAATGCATTATGCAAACTTAGTGCAAGTCTCAACAATGCTCTACTAGAAATCTTGTAGAGTATCTACATATAAATACATTACTCTTTATAAGGCATGGATACTAAGAACTTGTTACTGCAAGTAACAGATGTACGTGTTAGTTAAATACGTGTAAAGGGACAGCGAACTTACAGAATTGAACAGAAGTTATCCTTACACAGACACGTTGGGCGGATCAACCTCCAAACTATGACTGTATTCCTCTCACAGTTCTTCAAAGCAGCACTTATTTGTTGTTTATGCAGAACACAGTGAATGTATGGAAATAAACTACCATTTACATGTATTTTGTTATAAAGCATACTACAAAAGCAGATTTGTCAAAATGTTAATTCCATACTTACAGAATTTTTTAAGCAGTCATCATCCACATCAAAGTTTGATGTATCAGTGGGGCTGCTGACTTCTGGGATGTAAGGTGCCTCACAGTTTCTGATGTTGTCCCAGTCAATCCCAGCAAAAAATGGATGGTTCTTAAAGTCTTCTATCCCATTTTGTCCAAGTCGATGCTCTCTACTACAAATGAGTCTTCGGATGAGGTCCTTTGCACTTTCAGAGACATCTGTCACTTGAGCAGGAAACTGAAACCTCTCCTTAAAGATCAAAATATGACAAAATAGTTTATTACCAAGAAAATTTGGAAAAATCATCCTTGGTGAAATCCACTGTGCAGTAAAAGAAACATGCAAATACTCCAGTTATTAAATACTTTTCTCTTAAACTGCTGAATTCTACAGCTACCTCCACGCAGAAGAACATTTAAGAATGTTCTGCATGAGCCAACCCATGGATCCACCAGAGGAAAGTAATACAAAAGGACTGATGTAACACAGCCAAGATTTATTGCTTAGAGTGAACTAACAGCCATGTTTTCAAATCCATTTTTTTAGTTTTGAACTGCTCTATCCTAAAGCAAAGCCAGCTGCAATCTGTAATCATAAACTTACTACACAGAAACATACTTTTTGTTCTACATTTGCAGACTTAATTAGTACATAAACACTCATTTTTTAAAAAAGCCTTTAAGCTACCCTATTGCTTAATAAAAATTAGCTTAGAGAGACAGAAAGAGAAAGTGCACTAACCTTGTGGTTCATTATTTTCCCATACGTCTCCACCAAGGACTCGGCATAAAAGGGCGTTTCTCCATAAAGCATTTCGTACATGCAAACGCCCAGGGACCACCAGTCACACTCGGGCCCATACTTCCCTTTTCCATCTTCCATGGCCTGCAAAATTTCTGGAGAGATGTAGTCTGGTGTTCCAACTGCCACCGAAGATTGGACCTGCAGAAGTTACATTTCCAGGACTAAAATCAACTTCCATCGTTACAGACGCTGCTCTTGGTAGCACTATGCATGTGTATATAAATTTAGCCTAGCGTTCTGGTTATAATAGTAACAACTAAACATAAACGAAGGCTTCTGCATTCATGAAGAAATACTTAAGCATTCAAGGCACTACATGATTAGGCATCCCAATAATATACTTTTGCTGAACTCTTGCAAATATTTAATAACAGAGAAATACAAACCTGTCAATTCTTAGGCTTAGAGCTGATAAGTAATTACAGATTAGGTAATCACACATATTAACTCAAATACTTTCTAACACTCTGAGTCATGATTAATGTACTGGATTACATTCTTCTCACACCTACTGTATTCTGCCCAAATTTAAATACACTACAATTAGGAAATCATCATATTTCAGTATCTCATCCTGCTTATCCTAAAGCTTTTATTTCCAGTAAAGACTGGAACTCAGAGCTCAAGAGTGAGAGATTCATAGTTCATCAACAAACACCTACTCAGTCCTAGTAGTGCAGCTTCTCTTTATTCATGAGTTACTATGTGACTCCAAGAAGCTTTTAAAAACCAGTAAATCTAAGCAGTGTGCAGTGACGTTTTGAACCAAGGTTAGTTACATACCAATACCATTACATTTCCATTTCATCTCACATAGGCACTTTTTCTCTATATTAGTGCCCATTTTAGTGGCTAGCAAAAGACTGAAGAAAAGCTGTTTAAGAATATATCATTCTTTCTAATTTACCGTTCCATCTTCCATCAGTTTCAGACAAGAACCAAAATCTGCTAATCGAATATGTCCATTCATATCCATCAAGATGTTGTCTGGTTTAATATCTCTGCAATTAAAATACATTCTAGAATTAGCGCAAAGATGTATAATACAGAATCCAAGCATTAACTCTGCAACATTCTTATTCAAAATCAGCAACAGATCAGTGGACAGAACACAATCATTCTTCATATGGTGAAATTTGCACCAGAAACATTTCATTACAGGGGCTGCAGATCAAATCATACAATGTCCGTTCATTTTAGTAAGAACTGTGTGGTCAAATTCTCCTCATCTCTCACAGGTAGACAAGAGAATCTTACTTGCTCTGAACATTTGTACATAAACCTTCTAAATTATCCGAAGAATTTTAGTGAAGTACTCTCAAGTGAAATGATGCACACTTACACTGGAGCTGGAAATCAAACACTAACTTTTATTGTAGAAAAAAAGTAATGAAACCCTTTCACCAACATCTTTCTCTCACATACATCTCAGCTCTCTACGTGCATCTGTCATACTTCTGCTGAAATGACTGACAAACCACTGCAGCTCGCCTTGGCCATATTCTGCAGCCATCTCCTTCTGGTCATGATGCACACAGAAGAATCTTTCTAAGCAGGAAACATAACAAATAGTCCTTATTTTGCAAATTTGACTCATTTTTGCCTCATGTTTTCCATGATACCTAAGTATCTGTAAAACAGATGAAGTGTATGCCCCCAGCGTGCAGCTGACTAGGATGAAAGCATCTACACTCTCTAAGTTGCCAGAGAGATATTTATTGTTCAACTTGCAAACTAGGTTCAAATGCTGAAATTTCTTTTCATTAAAGTACAGTTATTAGAAATATCCATTAAGTTACATTGTTCAAATATATGACACATTCTTACCCTATCCTTATCTATCATATTCAAAAGCTACACTACAACTATATGACTAAAGTACTACGAATACTTTCTCAGTGAACAGTCATTTTTAAGACAGAAGAATAAATCCCCTAAATGAGCAAAAACCAAGTGAAACCCTGACTTTGCTTCATTCTCCTAACAACTTATAAACGAATGTCATCGGAAAAGTTTCAATATTCACAAGCTCCAATATGCACAGTGCACGTGAGAGTAAGGTTTCATTGTTGGAGTTGTTCTGGTTTCATAAAAGCTAAGTTATAAACAACGTTTACCAAGAATTTATAATGGAAAAGAGAAATTAGAATCACGCCTTGAACAACATTTCAGAAGCAATGCCATGAAGGTGTAGCACTGTTATACACTTCGTGACGATTAATGTGGTAACAGTATGTTGTTTTGTAGAAAAGTAATTTCTGACTTTGTGTTACCCGAAGACAAGCAGGAACTGATCCATGCTGTAAACAAATTTTAGCCACCTTCCAAATACACAGAAATATTTTCAAAGCAAAAAGCAAACACTAAAGAATTCATAGTTTTGCATCTCACAAATGAGCACAAAGATAATTCTTTGCAAAATAAAAATTAACTGAGTCCATTCTAAATTACATTCTTCCACTTGATTTTTGCTGACGCTTAATAGGCCAAAGAATTGCGACCTCCAGATCGAGATAGTTTTATTTATTTTACATTCACTCACTAAAAACATTCCTTAGACATGTTTCTAAATAAAAACAAACATATGTTACTGAGATCTCTGGAATTACAGCTTCAGTTTAAAACACTTTGCAAAAACATGTACCTAAAATGAAGTTCCTCTTAAGAGCTGGACCTAGTTCAAGTTAAACAAAAACATGAGTCACCCTTGAGGCTCCTTTTATTCATGTTCTATCTTTTAAAGTATTCCCAAGAGAAATAATAATCATCATCATCATCATCCCAATCTCCCCCATTCAATCTCACAAATCAGCAGAAAACATGAAAAATCTCACTCTGTTGTCAACACTGTACGAAAACAAACCTGCAAACAACACCAAAAGCACTGAGAGGAACAAGTATTCCTTGCAAAGTCAAGTTTGTAAAGCTCAGTAATAACTTCATAAGAACAATTTTTCAAGTTAAGGAGAAAAAAAGACCAACTTAAGGCACACAAATTCTTTTCAGCTCTTGTACCAGAAGGCATGGGTTATGAAGAACTGTTCTGAATTCAGTTGAACTACGTAAATGAAAGACAGTTTGAACAACAAGAATTGCTGGCACCTGCAGAGCTGAGTGGGTTGTAAGCAAAGGGAAAGTCAGGAATATTATGAGCCCCAGAGGAGAACAGGGAAGCGGAGTAATTATTGCCAGTGTAACTGAGGAGTTCAAAGGTGGTGATTATGGAGAAAAATAACAGGTCGTAAACCCCACATCTCTACTGAGCCTACAGTTGTTAGATTCCACTAGAATTAGGAGTTTTGTTCCAGGTTTTTGTTTTGCACAACATTTGGTAACTCTCCTTTGGTGATCAGAACAGATTCTTCTCCTGTTCTAAACAGAGCATGGTCTTGCCTCTTCATATCCAACCCCACCTTCTCTGGCTTATCCCAGTGTCTTCCCTGTATGAACTGGTTATCTCTTCCAATGCTTCCATCTCAGCTGCAGTTTTATTCCTATCATCCCCTGCCTCCTAGACTCACCTCAAAAGCTGAGATGTCCACTTCTCCATACCCTATCAAACCCAAATCTCCTCTTCTTTTGTTTCCTTCTTTCACTCCTAAGCCCTAGCCTCCTGTCAGTATAATTTTTTCTTTCCTCCCATCTCAGTTTTCAGCAGTCCCTATTTCCCCATAGTCACTTCCAAGATTCCCTTCCCATTCCCCTTGTCTTCCTATTCCTCTAACCCCTTCTATCCTCTTTCCTCTTGTCCAAGCTTTGTTCTGTTGCACAGGAATCTTCTCTGGCACCAGAAGGAAGAGCACTATTAGCAGCAAAGTGTCTCCACACTGTCTCTAGAGTCCATTTACCAGCATGTCCCAAATTGCTGGGCAATTCCCTTCACTCTCACAGCTCTGAAACAGTATGAATCCACAGCAGAAGAAAACTGAAAAAGTATTTAGGGACCGAACTCTGTATATGGTTGCTTTAAACTCATAACAACTGGCATACTGAGCAGAAAATTATAACCTGAAAATATCCAAGTGGGGGTCAGAAGAATGAAAATACATACATGACTCAAGATTCTCTCCTGAATTTTAACAGTTGGGCAAACCAATCCAACATCACTCAACGGTAACACTGGTGCTCAGTCAAGCAACTTAGTATCGTGGCTAGAAGGCTGTGGAGCACTAACACTCTAATAACCCTGTCATTAGCTCACTATAAAAAAAGAAAAAGGTCTGCTCGCTTGAAATATGAACTAATAACTCAGTTTCAACAAGTAAAAGCATTTGGAGGCCATTTTATGAGTCAGATTTATAGCGGGAACAAGTGTTGCGTCGGGGAAATCGCTCTGATGCCGCTGTGCCTGCTGGAGACCCTGAGCGACACCCAGTCCCAGGCCGTTCAGCCCCACTCCTGAGAGCAGCTGCTCCGTGTGGGAAGCCCAATGCCCAGTGAGCACAGGCTGACACGCTCCGACCTGGTACACATCAAGCTAGTGCAAGCTCTTCAAATGTGCTGCACAGGGAATTAGGGGGACACAGGTACTCAGCGTACCCAAAGAAATACAAACCTTTCTTATATAAACCTTTTCGTCGCATTGCCACTTGGGGATGTGAACTGAGCGAAGACTGCTGTTCTGTTTTGGGGGTTTTTTTTACTGAGTGATGTACCAGCACAAAAGGAGCTAGCAGTCCGGACCAAGTAAATTTCTTTAAAAACATGTATGTCCACTTAAACATGACTGTAACACAGAGTATAGGAGTGAATTCTGTTTTTCTGAGCTGCACTGGCCTTGACTGTAGGAGAAAATGAGCACTGCACGGCAGCTTGGATGAAGCGATGCTCTTTGCATTGGTTTTGCAGACTTTCATTATTTGCATCCATTCATCTGAAGAATGCTAAAGGAATAAACAGCCTGTGTCATAACAGAAGCAGAAATTGCACAGAAAATTAGTGTAGGGGCTTATGAAAAAAAATTGAAAAATCTTTAATGAACCCTTTTTCATAATGCTTTATGTTTCATTTGGGAAGCTGTTCTTCAGATTGGCATGTTTACCCGGATGGCTTAACTCACCTCTCTTTAAAATAGTTTACTTTCTTAAGCCATAATTGAAACCCAAACATTTTACATACTAACTGTGCTAAGATAAACAACATTGCTGTAGTCCTATTTCAGAGATATCTGGATTATTGCCATTCATTTTGATTTCTCTGTTAATGAGCCAGAGTAGAGTTTCATTTTTTCAGTAAGACTCAAGAAAATGTATTCCCTCTGAGACATCCATAGCACATTCCAGCTGTAAAACAAACTAAAAAGAATTTTTAATACATGTGAATGTATTTTTTCTTTCCTGGACTCATTTCTGATACCAAAAAAACCTTCAGGAATTGTGAGGTCTTGCATGTTGAACTTTGGACTGGACCAACTCCTTAAGTTCCTTCCCACTTGAATTATCTCATAATCTTATAGTTTCAAATCATACCTGTTCCTGAGGTTCATCTATGTCATTATTTGAATCATTGAAACAAAGTTCAGTTCTTTGCAAGACCAGCTAGAGTTCCTTAGGTCTACTGTACAGGAAGCAGCCGATTCCAGAAGAATCTCAGGTTAGTTTTCATTCATGGGCAGCCTCATGGAGGCATGGGACCAGGCAAACAGAATGGAAGTGTCTCGGTTTAGAAGACAGGGGAAAGCCTCCCTTGAAAACGGGAAATGTAAACCCCTCCCCACACACACACACTCCCCCGAACTGCTGTACCTTTGAAATGATGGGGCTTTCAGACAAAGATAGGGGAATAGGAATACCAGTTCTTTACTGAGAGATTGCAAACTACAAGGGTAATGATACAGAGGAAAAAAAAACAACAAGAGACAAATAATCCCCGAACCCGACAGAGTCAGAATACCTGACTTGGGAACAAAAAAAAAGTCCGAATAGATCCAGATTACAGTCCTGCTGGAATGGCAGATGCTGCTCCGGGTGATTCGGTAGAGAAAGTCCGGTGGCAATGGGCTAAAGTCCACTTCTCCGGC